CTATCTTTGCTTATAAGGTTTGTGACTTAACACAATATCGATGCATTTCGTAGAGGATGAATATATATGCTAATAAGAGACTGATCAATTACAATCCTAAACAACAATCAGAGGAATCAAGTAAAATAACAATACCAAATGAATATGTATGTATATAAATCGATTGATTCTTTTGTTCCCTGTACTGCTTGTTTACAGTATGAATGTAGTTGTTGATTGAATGATAATGATTAATGATCGTCATTATTATTCTCATTCATCATAATTATGTGAAGGTTGTATGGTTGATTGATTACAGTACGGGTACAATTCTTGTTTAATGTCGATCAAATTTAATTGATCAATGTTTGAAATGTGATCATTAGTTTAATTGACTGAACATTATGATCAATGATTGAAGATGATGAAAATTAAACTTTATACAGACTTATATTATGTATTATTTGGTATTTATGGTGGGCAATGTACTTCCCTAATTACGTCTGTTACACCTTTTATATCATGATCTGTTGACCAAAAGTCTCCAAACTCTCTTTTCTAAATGTTTTCAAGTGGTACTCATTCTTTTGATGTTTGCCTTATTAGATAATCGTATAATTAGTTTCGTAACCTATGACGTTACCACTAAACTCCTAGGTGGGAGACTGATTTATTTATTTAAAGACATTAACATTGGTACAAGAAGGCACCAAAGAGATATGCACCACATAAATCATTCGATTTGTGTGAGGGTTGGGATATTGTCCGGGCGCACAAACCAAAGCAGGTGGTTTACTTAAGGAGCCACACTCGGAGTCTTCAATTTGAAGATCTGATCCACAAGATAGAGGAGTAACGTCAAAAGATTCTGCCCTGGGTGAACCCTCCGTGTCCAGCAATCCGGTTAAAGCCACTGCTGGACATTCGGTTTTCGTCCTCTCAATTTCGTAAACACCGATGAATGCTGCGAGAACGCAGTGATTAGGACTTCCCTGTCAGTTGTTATATGCACGTTGTCATGTGATAGCATTTGTAGCAGGATAGCTAACTTGGGTACTTTTCATTCTTTTAAACTTAAAGATTCAATATCGATTTGGTGATTTTATTGAATTATGGGATCCAATTTTATTCCTTGAATTTGTGCATTCTCAGGTTTAGAAGATACCTTGTATCGATGTTCTATGGCACGACCAAACCATCAAGCTCAGAGAACAAAACTCCACCACAATCATCCACCTGAGCTACAAATCTTCTCCACAGGTTAAAATTTCTTTAGTATACTCCCAGAAATAAAATTCCAACACATTCAATACAACCCAGTTAGTAGACAGGGTTTTTTTCGTTAAGAAATAAATTGTATTTACCGACTTACTTACTCCTGTTACCCATCGTGTAAGAGCCTAGACCGTCCACCAGCATTCTCTATCCAACTCTTTCTTCAACAATCCTTTCTACTTCTTTCCAGTCGCTATTCATCCTTTTCATGTCTGCTTCCAATTCTCGACACAATGTGTTCCTTGGTTTTCCTCTTTTCTTTTTGTCTCACTTCGGAATTCCAAGTTGGCACTTATTTCGTAATGCAGTTTGATGATTTTAACAATGTATGTCCTATACACTTTCAACGTCTTTTCTTAATTTCTTCTTCAGCTAGAAGATGGTTTGTTCTCTCTCATAGTAGGTTGTTGCTGGTTGTATCCGGTCAACAGACATTCAATATCTTACATTGACAATTGTTTAGTAATACTTGCATATTTTTGATGATAATTGCAGTAGTTCTTCACGTTTCAGCTACGTGCAGTAGGACTATATTGACGTCACTGAGACATGTAAGACCATTTTTCAGATCTTTTCTTAGAAGGATAAAGTATTGGAATACGTGACTTCTAATTCTGTAATATGCTACTGATATAGACAGATATAAGTAGTATGTATCGTCAATCGAAAGAGAAAAGTCTGGCGGTAGAAGGTTAATTAAATTGAAGAGAAAAGAACGAGAACAGAGAATGATTACTATGGAAACGAAAGAACAATGAAGTCTGAGACGATTAATTGACATTTTGCAAATGAGGTATTTACTATATGATTCTCAGATTTTACTAAGAGATTCTGTCATTTTGTATTCAGATACATTTGGTTGTTACCACTAGTGTTCTTGTTCACAACAGTATCACAAGTGATTAGGTAATAATAAGATGCATTTTTGGAATAGAAAACAATGTAAAGGATAAGAGTCACTTTGTCCTATTTGGGACTCGTTAGTTGGATGTGCCTATAACCCGTTCATTTCAACAAACGCCATCACGTTATCCACTTGACTACTGAATGTCAGATTTCACTATGAGATTCTATAATTTCGTATTCAAATACATTCGATTGTTCCCATTTGGTATTCTCATTCCCTACACTAATACCTTTTGTTTCTAAGTGGAAAAAAAACTGAATAAGTTAAATTGTCTTTAGTAGAAACCACTTTACAAACTACTTTAACAATCAACATCTGCTTAGTAATTGTTGTACAGTCATAGTTCAAATCTCATAAGGTCGAATAAAAACGAGACCTTCATAAATCAATGTGTTAATGTATGTTTCTTAACTGAAAACACCATGGGTGTTTCTAACCTAATAAGACTGAATGGCACTTATGTTTATGTGTTTCTTTGGTTTTAATGATGTAATAGGTACATTTGGTAATTTCGGTTATCATATGGATTGTTATGAAATATATTAATGTTTATATGATTCATTCTAAACAATTATCATTCCCAGAATGAGAAGGGGGAGTTTGTAGAGACTGTAGTAATTTTAATGGTTGAATTTATCGGTCGATCTAAGCTAGAAATATCATTGAAAATTTGAAAGCATTGGATGACCGTTTCGTCTTAGTAAGGAACTCTACAGAAGTGCACATCTATAATCTCGCATACCGGGCCAGAACCCAAGACTTTTGACCTCTCACACTAACATCTAACCTGTAGACTAGTGAGACTTCATCCAAAGGTGTTAATGTCTAGCTTTAATCAAAATGTGTTCTTGAGCAACCCTTTATTCATTGTTTGAAGTGGATAACTTCCTCCATGGCTTCTCACTAGAACTCCAGAGAATCCACAAACCACCATTCTGATAATAATCATGTGCTTACATGTGACGAACTGTGATCAATGGAGTACAATCTGTGTTAAATATATACAGTTAGCCATCACTGACAATGGATGAAGGGTCAAGCAACATCATAGATCGATTGAAGTTCGACATTAACACCGCTGGGTGTTATCTCAGTGGTCTACAGATTGTATTCGCGGACGAGACAGAATGTCCTGGTTTCGAACCTCATATGTGGGATCGTGCAGGTGCATTATTGAAGAGTCCGATACTATGATGAAACGGCCATCCAGTGTTTCCAGATTTTCAACGATGGTCTAACATTGATCCTTTCATCATATCAAACATAAAAATGTTTGAACTATTTGACTTCAAATTAGTGATCTAAAGGCAATAATCACTGATCAACTAATTTAATAACTATGGTTTCAATCCTTCTACAGGTATAATAGGATGAAACAATTAATCAATACTTCGTTATGTTTTCCTGTAACTGCCTAGTTTTAAACACTTGCTCTACTGAAGTAACTGTTGCTGTCTATGTATCACTCAGTTTCACAGTTTCAGTTATCACTATTGTCTTCCTATTTCTACGGATTGATCCATTAAACAAGTGACCAATGTCATTTATTTCTATTCTTTTATCCCAATTAAATTCTATCGATCATTGATAATGATCATGAAATCGATCAAATGTAATTAATAAAATAAAAATCATAAAAATAACTATAATCAAAGGGGGGTTCTATGGATATTATAGTAATTTCAATCGTTGAATTCATGGGTTAATTGAAATTAGACCACTATTGGAAAACTTGGGAGAACTGGACAGTGGTTTTGTCCTATTGTAGGACTCCTCAGAAAAGTTTAATATGTTCATTCAAACACCGTTGCGTTATCCACATAGTTACTGAGTCCTGATAGCCACTTGCTTGTGTAATGGAGTGGGTTTAAATTCATTTGGTATTGCTTGGCTTGTATCTTCACATTGAGGTTTAAGACTGCAATTATCAGGACTCAGTAGCTGGGTGGATAACGCGATGGCGTTTGGGTTCGAGTCCCACAGTGAACATCAACAAGTCTGAGATCGAGGTACATCCAGCTGACGAGTCCCAAATAGGACGAAACGCTCGTCAAACTGGATTCCACTGCTAGCTACTATCCATCATTGCTTACAAAAAGCTTGTGAATTAAGGCAATATCGAGGCATACGCACAGTATGCACATATGCCAATAACAGGCTGATCAATTGCAGTCTTAAACCTCAATGGGAAGGTACAAGCCTCACAATACCAAGTGAATCTATTTCTTTCTAGTATGAAGCTGTCCAACAGTGTTCATTCATGATCCCATAAAGGGTTTAACACAGGGATTTTAGAACTGTTGACAAGTGCTTATATTTACAGCACTAAATTATCGTCCTGTAGTGTATGTGTATTACTTTAATCTATCTGTGATATTGTATGATCACTTTATTTTGGCTAACATACGTTAGTTCGTAATCCCAATAACTTTCGACGATTTCCACAAACTTCACGATACTGATCATTATCATGTGCTTACTAGTAACTAGTCTTAAGATTCAATTCTTGGAGTTCATATTGGAAAGTATGGACGGTTTAGTTCAGTCATGCCATTTGTGAAACATTTCTATGCTACAGACAATGTAAGTTGATAGAGTAATATTTTGAATTGAATGAAGTTAAACATGTACATTTTTAGATGCAAGCTCAGAAGTCTAGAGGTTAGGAATCCTATATAAGATCAAAGGTCCTATGTTTGATTCCTTATGGTGAGGTTGTGAGTGCTCACTACTTTGATTGAAACAACTATCTGGGACTTTCTGATTGTTTATAAACAAACACGAAATACTGTATCCAATATGACTATAATGAAATTGTGTTTTATTTATTCCTTTTCAGATTTCTTCTCCTCTACGTCCGGAACAAATTTCATATATCGTAAGTAGTATATAAAGTACTTAATATGACATAATCTCATAAGAGGTTTTTGAGGATATTATAGTAATTTTAATAGTTGAGACTGATAGGTCCTGGGTTCGAATCTTGCGAGGAGGGATCGTGGATGCACACAGCTGAGAAGTACCACATTAGGAAGAAACGGCCTTCCAGTCCTTCCAATGTTTTCCATGGTGGTCGAGCTTCAATTGACTCGTGATCTCAACTATTAAAATGATATAATTTGCTTATGAATATACATATATATTGTAAACTATTTACAATATTAGTAGTATAGATGTCTTCCACGATAATCACTTTAGTTGACGAATATCAGAGAGAAGAGCAAGATGAATATTTCCTATGAGGTAACATTATGTCTACAATCCATTTGCTAACATAATGCCTCAGTAAATGATGTATGCTGACTCCATGCCCGATTCTCCTACTTTACCTGGTATTGGCACTGGCAATAATCCTAGAAGAGCTAAAGAATGAGGTTGCTGAATTAATGTCCAACCCTCTTTCCTTATCCGATCTTGAAACCTGCTACAAAAAGGTGGATTTGTAAGTTCGAATAACATAAATACATTTATTTCGTGGATTTTTTCGCAGCTATCCGCAACCTAAAACCGTACTATCGACCATTAAAACAAAACACGTATATATATTTTACATTTGAAACATGTTGAATAGATTCAGTAAACATATAGAGATAGAATAATATTAAGCAGTGACCAGTGAAGTTCAACCGGGTCTGTTGTGAGATAGTAACTCACTGAAGACAATGATAGACGGTGGCTCAATTTCATGGATTTGTAGAAATTATACATTGACACCATTGGATATCGGCTGGCTCAGTAGTCTAATGGTTAAGCGCTCGCTTGCGAGACTGACACGTCCTGGGTTCGAATCTCGCAAGGCGGAACTGTGGACATTAACACCACTGGATATTGATCAGCTTCGTGGTCTAAAGGTTAGGCAATCGCGGGCGAGACTGATAGGTTATGTGTTGGAATCTCGTAGGGCGGGATCCTGGATGTACAGTGCTGAGAAGTCACATACTTAGACAAGACAGCCACCCAGTCCTTCTACGTTTTGCATATATTACAGTCTCACCGTATATTTTTAATACACTAAAAGTATATTTACTCTTCTTTTTTTTATTCAATAATAGCTTAGTCGTAATAAAACATTCGATGAAATTTCTATGCCATCTGCATGGATTGCACCATTTCCATCCAAATGTGTCACTGGAAAATTTACACCTACATCATTCAAATCAGATAATAATCAAATTGATCATTTACATCAACGTATAAGTCCTAGTCTTATACAAACAACTCCATTGAATATTCATCCGAATGTAACAACTTCACAATTAGATCATCAACAAAAGATTAAATCAAATCAATCATGGTCAAAAACTACTGATGATCCATATAGTACATCATTAGTATGCAGTTTATCAGCTGAATTAGCTAGTGTTGGTAGACAAAGATTTCGTTTAACTTATATTACAGATCGTCTATTAGGTAAGTTATTGAATGATATAATATGTTAAATTATTTTATCAATAAATTTGATCAGAAAGAATTTCTTGTTATTGTTGTACTCAAGTGCATCCGATTGTCTCCATTTTTGTGTTCTTGTTTACTACATTTGGTTTCGCTGCCAACCAGGAAGGGAAGGATGCCGTTATGTGGACGCCGTTGAGAACCTACAGATGAGATGCTAGTTGAAGCGGCCCGGTCAGGGAAGGTGACGCCGAGTTAAGTATTCTGGCGGGGTGGCGTTGATGGAGCGCAGGCGTTAAACGTCTCGGATACCGGGTGGACATTGGATGTTGACGACTGGGCGAGTCGATAGGGCTATGAAGGGAAGTGCACCGCAGATTCGACATTTTGATGGAGAGCATGGCACAGATTGCAAAAAAGTGGCACGGCGGGCACAACCACTGCAAGAATGACTGCTTTAAAGGAGGGACAAGTGTGGTGTGTGTTCGATGTATATCGACATAAGTAGTATATTACCCTAGTCAGGGATAGAATGTCTGGTAGCAGAAGATCTAGAAGATCGTGCAGGAAAGAACGGTAACAGAAAGCAGTTGGTATGCAAATACAGGAACAATGAAGTCTGACACAATTGATTGACATTTTTTCAAATGAACTATTCGCTGTATGGTTCACAGTTTGCATTATGACATTCCGTAATTTTGTGTTCTACTACATTCGATTGTTCCGATTTGTGTTCTCCTTCCCTACGATGTTCACTTCCATCATTTTTTGATACAGTACATAGATCAATAAATTACGAGTAAATCATCCGGTTTGCAGAATGAAAGCCCATCGTGGATTCACACTGCTGAGAAGTTCCATGCTAGAACGAGATGATCATCCAATGCTTCTAGGTTTTCCAGGTTGGTCTAGATTACATCGACTCCTATGAAAAATTCCATGTGCCAAAAAAAGCATGATCAGTTTTTATATATGACCCAGATAGGGTCATAGATGTTCACTATTGTGAAGTCTTATATTTAAATCATAAATTAGTTTGCCATTGATTCTTGATTTCTAATTGTGTAATGTAAAGCATTTCAATAGTTTCCATAAGAAACAAACATTTATGTAATTGAAACATTATTGTTTGATTCAAGTATCATATTACACAGTTCTAGAACAAAAACATCTTTTGGCCAGACTAGAATTTATGAATGAACCAATCACAGGTCTCGGATTTTGGCGCTAAATTCATTCATCCATTTGGATCAATAGAGTTTTGGCATTAGAGCTGATGTCGGTTCATGGTAGAAATCTAATCTTAACCATCAACTGTATATCGTAATTCGAATTCCTCACACACTGGTTTATAACCCTCATTTGGTCCTAGTTATTAGGAGGACACTCTTAAGGTCAGTCTGGTGTCGCTTAAAGGTTGTCTATAAATTGCTGTCTCACCCAACATCTTTTATCGAATGAGTAATGTTCATTGTTTAGTTAATTTTGTTTAAATCAATTGTATTATGCCCCTAAATGCCCTGGTAAGACCAAGAGTGTGGAGAGTCCGCTCTCTCTCTCCAAATGCTCTCACATGGCCACGCCTATATAGCCTCTGTCAGGGAAGTCCTACTGACTTCCTTCTCGCACCACGGGTGTTGTTTACGAAATTGAGAGGACGGAATGCGAACGTCCGTAGCTTTAACCGGATCGGTGGACATGGAGAGTCCATCTAGGGGGGTTTGAAAACCCTGGACTTGCTATTCCAACTCTGATTGGTTCGTCCATCAAGGATAGTCCCACCATGTTAACTTGAATCAGCTTATTTGTTAAGTGAAAGTATTAAGATCCATGATCAGAATGAATATGGGTCAGATAGGATGAGAGGAACAATAGTAGAATGAATGCAAAGTAAGGGACGATTGATAATGATGTTTAATCAATAATAATAATAATAATAATAATAATAATAATAATAATAATAATAATAATAATAATAATAATAATAATAATAATAATAATACAAAGATATGTGAATGAAGATAACAGAGACAATTATAGTTGATTACGAAAGGTCGTAAGTACAATAGTCAAATTAGGTCATTCAAAAGATAATAATTGATAATAATTGACGATGAGATTGAACAGCGGGGAAAGGAGTGGTTGAAGATATTCTGTCCGTACACTTAGCTCCGGTTTCTTCATCAGGATAGTTACTGCCTTAGCCGTTCAAAGGACTTGGATGCCGGTTCAGTGGTCTAGTTGGTTAAGCGCCTGATACAAGACTGATAGTTCCTGGGTTTGAATGTCGCGGGGTGCGGGATCGTGGATGCGCACTGCTGAGGAGTCCCAATACTAAAATGAAACGACCGTCCAATGCTTCCAGGACTTTTATGGTGGTCTATATTCAATTGACTCATGATTTCAATCAGTGAGACTTGAAATGTGACAAGCTTTTGGCAAAAATATTACTGACCATATAAATAATTGGAAAAGGATTGGTTTATACTGGCATTATGACCAGTTTGTACTAAATAAGCCAATATCGAGCTGTTCACTTTCTTTATCAAACCTTTGTTTAGCCACGCTGAGAGGTGTTTACGAGCACAAAAATGTAAATTCCTAGAATTTTGACCAATATAACTGTCAAACAACACCAAAGTCATAATTTTCAATACAAATGTCAAAACAGTTCTACTGTATGGGGCGGAAAGTTGGAGAACTACGAAAGCCATCATCCAGAAGATACGAGTGTTTCTAAACAGTTGTCTATGCAAAATACTTCAAATCTGTTGGCCGGACACTATTAGCAACAACGTACTGTAGGAGAGAAAAATTAGATTCCAGAGGAGGAAGAAATCAGGAAGAAGCGATAGAAGTGGATAGGACACACATTGAGGAAAGCACCCAACTGTGTCACAAGGCAAGCTCTCACATGGAATCTTCAAGGCCAAAAAAAAGAGGAAGACCAAACAACACATAACACCGATAAATGGAGACAGACATGAGAAGAATGAACAAAATTAGTATAAACTGGAAAGGAAAACTCAGTAGAGAATGAGTTGGAGAATGCTGGTCGACGGTCTATGCTCTATTAGAAGTAACAGGCCTAAGTAAGTTAGTAATAATAATATAAAGAATCCAAAAAGGTTTTAATAGTTGAGTTCATGAGTTGATGTAAGCTAGACCACTACTGAAAACTTGGAAGCACTAAATAGCCATTTCGTCATAGTATGGGACTCCTTAGTAATACACTTCCACAATCCAATATATGGGACTCGAGCACAGGACCTTCTATCTTGCCCTCATGCTCTTAACCTGTACATCAGTGAGCCAGTATCCAATATGTTAATGTCTTACATGACTAATGAACGTATTGTAGTTATATATTCTGGTGTTTGTTTGTAAATCGTGAAAGAAAAACAATAAATGAAATTTTTTGATGTAACTATATAAAAAAGGATCTTGTATAAACATAGAAAGTGTTTTCATCACGTTCATGATCCATGATCTCATTCATGGGATTCGAACTCAATCTCCAAAACCCCCCCTCTCTTTAATTGATGTATTGTAGAAATATTTCTAATCGTTTTTCTCTTTATGACTTAGTTCTATTTTTACTAAATCTCCATGGTGTTTAAACTTTACTAGGAATATTGATATCAAATTATATACGTCAGTTAATATATATCAATAGTTGAAATCATAGGTGAATTAAAGTTAGACCACTATGGAGAACCTGAAAGCACTGGAAAGCCGTTTTGTCCTATTATGGGACTCTTCAGAAGTGCACATACACGATCCCGGCCCCCTGAGAGATTCGAACCCAAGACTTATCAGTCTAGCTTCAATTGACTCATGATTTCAACTATTGAAATTACTAAAATCCCCACAAAACCCCTCCTGACAGCTAACATATAATCTAATCTTCCTATTATCTTTAATGTTATAAACAGTTATAGTGAATGTATTTATATTATTCTCATGTAATTATGGTTACAATTCTATTTGATTTGTATGTCGTTGTTTCTTTTATTCGGTAGTCAAATGATACAACATCTGGTCATTGTGTTTTGTTTTGCATTTGGATAACATAAAAGAGATATGATAAAAAAACAACAATCAAACATATGTAGATTAACTATTACCATGAATACAGTCTTCACAAAACAAACCCCCTATCTGCATTCAAATTATATTTATCATGTACTTACTAGTGACTGAATTCAAGATAGATATTCTTGAAGTTCTAGTATGAAGCCATGACTAGTAGTGTTCAATTTATGTGGAGTAGAAATAGGTATCTATCTTAAACAATGAATGAAGGGTTGCACAAGATCATGGATCAATTGAAGCTAGATAATAACAATGTTGGATGTCGGTTTAACGGCCTACAGGTTAAGAATTTGCGCGCAAGGCCGAAAGTCCCGGGTTCGAGTCCAACATGTGGAACTGAGAAGTTCTATACTATGAGGAAACGATCGTACAATGCTTTCAGGTCTTCAGTGATGCTCTAACCTGAATCGATTCCTGAATTCAACTTTTAAAATTACTACTCTCTCTAACAATAAAAGTTGTTTGTTATTAGTTAAGTAGTAGCAACAGTCTATGATTGATATTTATTTAAAATGTCATCCAAAACTATGAAGGATTAGTGTTGTATCCTAGAATAAGATTCCTTAGCAGTTCACATTCATAATCTAATCAAGGACTGAGACTAGCAACTATCTTTCTTTTAGTGACTCTCTAACCATCAGTTATCTGAAATGATATTAAATTATTTTTATTTCTTAATTCACTCAAATAGATAAGTATGGTGACAACTATCCAACATAGTTGAGCATTAGTCACAGTTATCCATTTGAATCTTATGAATTAATGTCAACGAAATCCAATACTTACATCATTTCAATAGTTGGGATCATGAGTCAATTGAAGCTAGGCCACCATGAACTGACATTTTGATTTGTTGCCAAATCTTGTCCGTCATGATGTACTTACTTACTATTACTAACGCTTGTTACTCATCTTGGAGGAGCATAAGACACCCACCATCACTCACCATTCAACCCTGTCCTCAACAATCCTTATCAATTCTTTTCATTTTCATCCTTTTCATGTTCACTTCCAATTCTTGATGTAGTATGTTCTTCGACCTTCCTCTTTTGCGTTTACACTCAGGATTCCAAGTTGGCGCTTGTCTCTTGATCTGGTTTGATGATTTCTGTAATGTGTGTTCTATCCAACCCCAACGAATTTTCCTAATTTCTTCAACCGGAAGTTTGTTTGAAGATAGACCACCATGGAAAACTTGAGAGCACTTGACGGCAGTTTCGTCCAAGTATTGGACTTCTTATAAATTCAACTATTAAAGTACTATAATATCGACATAATCCCTCTCTGATTATAATCATCATACACTCACTAGTGACTGGCTTCAAGAGGTATTTCCTGGAGTTTTAGTGAGAAGCAGTGACAAGTGGAGTTCAACCGGGTCTATTGTGAGATAGTAACTCACTGAAGACAATGGTGGACGGTGGCACAATTTCGTGGATTGGTGGAAATAAGACATTAACGCCGTTGTATGACGGCCAGCACAATGATCTTGAGGTTAAGCGATTGTTCACGAGACTGAAGGTCCTGAATTCGGATCACGCATGTGGTATTGTGGGTGCACACTGCTGATCAGTCCCATACTAGGACGAAACGGTTATCCTATGATGTTCTAGCTTCATTGAACCAATGATTTCAACTGCTAAAATAAATTCAAGAACGGTAAAATACTGATTCGAAAATGATGAGCTATCCGCCTTATCCATTAATCATTAACATTTCATTTTAAGTCACTTTCATGAAGTCTTTTTTATGGTGTAATCTACTCTTTGATTATTTTTATACCCCTCTTATATTCTTTCTTTTAGTCGTAAGCTATCCACCTGAATCAACCAAAACTGATCACAATGAAGGTGCTCGATGGTTATGTAAAGCATTTGAAAAACGTTATGGTGAAAACTATAGGGTATGTGATATGATATTATTACTAACACTAATACTAATACTACTCACGTTATTACAGATACTACACACACTATTATCAGTACCACTATAATGCCACTTGGAATACTACTACTACTACTACTACTACTACTACTACTACTACTACTACTACTACTACTACTACTACTACTACTACTACTACTACTACTACTACTACTACTACTACTACTACTACTACTACTACTACTACTACTACTACTACTACTACTACTACTACTACTACTACTACTACTACTACTACTACTACTACTACTACTACTACTACTACTACTACTACTACTACTACTACTACTACTACTACTACTACTACTACTACTACTACTACTACTACTACTACTACTACTACTACTACTACTACTACTACTACTACTACTACTACTACTACTACTACTACTACTACTACTACTACTACTACTACTACTACTACTACTACTACTACTACTACTACTACTACTACTACTACTACTACTACTACTACTACTACTACTACTACTACTACTACTACTACTACTACTACTACTACTACTACTACTACTACTACTACTACTACTACTACTACTACTACTACTACTACTACTACTACTACTACTACTACTACTACTACTACTACTACTACTACTACTACTACTACTACTACTACTACTACTACTACTACTACTACTACTACTACTACTACTACTACTACTACTACTACTACTACTACTACTACTACTACTACTACTACTACTACTACTACTACTACTACTACTACTACTACTACTACTACTACTACTACTACTACTACTACTACTACTACTACTACTACTACTACTACTACTACTACTACTACTACTACTACTACTACTACTACTACTACTACTACTACTACTACTACTACTACTACTACTACTACTACTACTACTACTACTACTACTACTACTACTACTACTACTACTACTACTACTACTACTACTACTACTACTACTACTACTACTACTACTACTACTACTACTACTACTACTACTACTACTACTACTACTACTACTACTACTACTACTACTACTACTACTACTACTACTACTACTACTACTACTACTACTACTACTACTACTAATCATAATTAACTTCTTAACTCAATCTGCTTATTGATAATGAAATTTCCATGTCTTTTACTATGCCGTTAATCAATTCTCGCTCATTATTCGAACAAGAATCAAGGGTTTGAATTCATTTGATCGTTTTGGAAATCTGATTGTATATTTTCAGCTAAATTTCAGCAGATTTCATATGCAGCTAGTCATGTGATCAGTGATGTGTTTCGTGCTTTATTTTGAGATCATCAACTGAATATAAACTGTATTCCAATATTATTGTTTTATGCTAAGACTCGAACATACTATCTTTCTTTTCAAATGTCCGACATGTTGTCCAATGAGTTCACATGCCTACCAATTTGTTTTGAATATATATATAACAGAAAACATTGAAGGATTTCATTTCTGAATATCAACAATGATGAAATACAAACACTTACTAATATCCACAACTAACTGCTGAGATAATTTCCCCTCCATAAAGGTTAGCGCGATACGTCGAATATCAAAACGCGAACATTAGCTACAGTGAGAATCAATTAAGCTTACTGGTGTTCAACAGTTTCGTAGCTACAGTCAGTTCATGGCATAAAACTACATAATTCAAAATGCCCTGGTATGGCTGAGAGTAGGGTGGGCCCTCTCGAAATGCTCTCACACGGCCACCATATACAGCCTCTGCCAAGGAAGTCCTACTCACTACATTCTCGACGTCGGGGTGTAGTTAACAAAATTAAGAGGACGAAAAGCGAATGTCCGGCAGGGACTTTAACCGGATCTGTTTTTTAAAAATAATCTAATCATTTCAACTGAATTGTTCCACTTATAATCATTCTCTTCTCAATTTCTTTACAGATATTTAATCTGTCCGGCTTCACCAAAGAATTACACTTTTCAAGTCGAGTAAGATTAGAATTTTTAAACATGTTTTATTGATTAGTTTAATTCATGGATCGATGTAAGCTAGGTCACCATGGAAAACCTGTAAGCACTGAACGACTGTTTCATCCCGGTATGAGGCTCCTCAGCAGTGCGTATCCACTAACCTGCACCCAAGACCTAATGTCTCGCGCGCGAACGCTTAACCTCTAGACAACCTAGCCAGCATTCAACAGTATTAATGTGTAACTTCCATCGATCCATGAAAGACTGGCATAAAAGTTAAGTTTTCACACGTGAGACCGAAGTTCTTGGGTTCGAGTCCCTTGTATCCATGATCGTGGATGATTACTGCTGAAGAGTCCCATATTAGGACGAAACTGCCATCTAGTGATCCCAGGTTTTCCATGATGATCCAACACATTACTGTTTGAGATGGTGGAAAAGATATGTAGCTCAGGTAAATGATTCTGGTGTAGTTTTGTTCTCTGAGATTGATGGTTTAGTGATGGAGGTATCATCGTTCTTCCGAACGAAATCATCAGCACAAATGTCATGTAGAAGTTTTTTTCTTTTCAAGATATCGATTTCAAACAACTGAGAACTTCATAATAACCTATAGTGCTAAATGTATTTAGTGAATGATAATGCATAAATCATAACTAGGCTGAATAGAATGTTAATCTAATGTATGACAATTAATATTGTTGAATTCATGAATTAAAGTTTTTCAGTTATTCGATAATTGTAAGAAGAGTACAAGTGTGAACTAGACAGTTATTAACTAACTTTTTTAGATCTGGACTTCACGACTAATATCCCTTCCTACACAAGACCACTCACAGTTTCTATAGGTTAGCTGTAATATTTACGATCAGTTTAGGTGTTGTAGAGATTGTTAATTTTTTGATTGAAATCATGAGTCGATTGAAGCTAGACCACCGCGGAAGACCTGGAAGCACTGAACGGCCGTTTCGTCCTACTATGGGATTCCTCAGCATTGCGCACCCACGATCCTGCCTTGCGAGGTTCGAACACAGGACTTATCACTCTCGCACCAGTCGCTTAACGAACTAGACCACTGAACCGAGGTGCGGAATTATGGATGCGCACTGCTGAGGAGTCCTATACTAGGTACAAACGGCCGTCGAGTGCTTTCAGGTTTTTTATTGTGGTCTAGATTCAATTGACTCATGATTTCAATCGAAAATATGACATGTATTGATACAAGTTCCTGTTTCATACCGTTACAAGTAAATCTTATTAATATGTATCGTCTAACTGGAAGCCTATATCAACCTACATAATAGCTTGATATTATGTTTAAGTGTGAATACATCAAAACATACTAATGTATCATAAAGTTTATTCACTATCCATAATATACTACTGAAATGCATGGGTTAGTAGTTTATCTTTTATTGAGTTACTGTCTGTTAGTATAGACTCTTTGAATAATACAATTGAGATACAGTGATCCAGGATCGATTAATGATGATGTCATTGACCTTGAAGCTGACTGATAGTGGTTTAAGTCCTATATGGGGAATCATGATTGTAGGTACACCTCTTTAAGGATTGTCAACTGGCTAAACACGGTTTCTTATAGGCTACCTCAAATGTTTTAATAGACTAGGTATCGTTAAGCATATATATATATATATATATATATATATCTGTTTAAACATTAGTTTCCTAATATTACTGTACTTATATGTCAAAATGGTTTCCTAATGACTTCTTCCAATCAACCTACATCAGTATAAAGTTCAACCATTCAACCAACCGATGAAACTGGAAGTAGTGTAGTGTGGCGTCGAGTCACGGTTGACTATGATCACCACCACAAGAAGGTTGCGTACCAGATATCAGATGGCGATTGAAGTTTGTAGTGAGATATATTTGTTAGCGATCTCGTGGTATCGAAATAATACCGAGATTATGCCACAGGAGTACAAGCGGAACTACTGAGGTCACAATCAACAGAAGAAAGAATGTCTTTAATACAGTTAAACAAACAAGTACAGTAAAACAATCACTGGTATGATTGGTTATAGTAATAATTATTTCCATGAAAGTAGGTCACTACAGTAGTATGAAAGATAACTTCAAGAACAGACATCATTTCAAAGGATCAAAACGTATACTAATAACATTATTTCTATTCTTGATGAAATGCTTAATAAGCAGTGAGTAATTACCATAATTGTAATTTTGTCTAAAAGTACACCAGTATACTGGTAAACTCTATCTTAAAATTCAGGAACTTTAAGTATATGACTTAAATTTTATGTGATTCTTTATCATTTTAGACTCCTGTAATTGATCTGTTCTGGGCAGGAAAACTTGCTCCCGCTTTAGAACAACTAGTGACAGCTATTGATCAGTTAGACTTTTGGCTTCATAATCATGATATTCCATCAACAAATGATATCAAAAAATCTAAAGAAATCAACAGTATAAATAATCGTGTAGCTGTTCTTCATTGTACCGGACCAAAATGTTTATTAGCAACATATTTAGCTGTTTATATGTGTCAATCAAAAGCAAGATTTGGTCCATTATACGGACAAAGACCTGGTTCACCAACTGCACGTGGTTTACAATGGAATGAGAATCGATTAAGAAGGTATGTGTTCTTAAAAACTGATCTTTTTGATTTCTACATTGTAGATATCACTGTCGATTATAGAAACAAAGGTTTGTAGGTATATTATCTGCTGTATGAATGTTTTGATTTGATTTATTGGTATAAAATAAGATCAAAATTGCGAAAATATAAAGATGCCAAAAGCATTTGAAGTAACACTTTCTATAATCGAAACGTGCCCACTCAGTGAAATCAGAAGTCAAAAGCCACGAGGTTGGAAGGTATATTTGATAGGCTATCAATATATCGAGAAGTGATCGATGTAAACTAGGTATTTCTTGTAGGAGAAGTTGAGCACAGCGTACCCACTCGTAATGTATAACCGAGCGCCTTCAGCTAGATGAATCTGTTAGAACTAATATGGTCAGTATCAAATGTCGAAGACTCACAGAGCTATTGATTTTGAGGATTTCTTTACCATTACAAATGTATTATGCAGAACATTGTCAACATTCTTAAGATTAAGAATGAAAATTGATCATTCAACGATAGAATAAACCAACTTATTTTTAAATCAGTATATTATAAACAGCCTTTCGTCCTATTGTGGGGCTCATCAGCAGTGCGCATCCACAATCCCGTCGCCCCTTCCGCGAGATTCGAACCCAGGATATATCAATCTCTCGCGCGAGCGCTTAACCATTAGGCCACTGAGCCAGAATTCATGCCCCTGTCAGCTATGTTGACAATAATGGAATCTGATGAGTCTAATTTTTGGACGATCTTTGAGCAACGCCAAAGTAACCTTGAGAGCGTTTACCTACTTACCATTGGTAAATGAAAGTTATAAGTCAGTTTGAAGAATAGGATTCTGATTTACAATTGATGGTTAAGGTTAGGAATTAGATTTAGGATTTTCATCATGAAATAACATCAACTTAAATGTCCACATGAGTGAGTGAATTTCGCACCAAAATTCACTACTTGTTATCTTAAATCTGATTGCTTCGTCTATAAATTATAGTCCCGCTGTAAACTTGAGCTCATTGTAAGATTTCATTGTTCTATATTCAATCACTGATGATGTAATAAGTGCATATTCCGGAGTTTTATATCAAAAATAAACAATTAATTATTATCCTTTGGTCTTCAATAATTATCTAATTGAAACTAATCCATTATGTAAAACTAATTTCATGTTAACATATATTTAGAGTACAATTTGATCAAACTACAACTGAATAAATTACAGCATAGAATTAGTTGTCAACTAACCATTGAAAACCTGGAAGCACTTGACAGCCATTTCGTCTTATTATGGGACTCCTCACAGGTGAGCATTCACGATTCCACTCACAGGATTCGAATCCAGGACATTCAGTCTCGTACGCAAACACTTAACCTCTAGACCACTAAGTCGGCATCCAAAGGTGTTAATAATAATTGAGTCCTTCTCTCTACATCAAATTGGTTGATATATAATGAATACTGAGTGAAGTTTAATGAAATGATTTAAATTGTATATCACTGTGTTTAACATACATCTAATTAATATAATAATGACAAAGTTCATTATTTATCAATATCAATATTAAATGAACAAATCGTTTCAATAACTGTTGAGACAATACAGAGAATTCTTTGAAAAAAGACAAAAACATGTCTCTGAACATGCTGGGAAACATCTTATCCAATCAACGCCCCTAAATGCCCTGGTAAGGCCGAGAATGGGAAGAGTCCGCTCTCCCTCTCCAAATGCTCTCACATGGCCACGTGTATATAGCCTCGGCCAGGGAAGTCCTACTCACTGCCTTCTCGTGTCATTATTGTTGTTTACGAAATTGAGAGGACGAAAAGCGAATGTCCGGAGCTTTATCCCCGTTGGTGGGCACAGAGAGTCCACCCAGGGCAATTTGAAAACCCTCATTCCAAACCAAAGGTGCACATGGGCCCCAGTATGCTCAAGGAACAAATGGCGTATGAACCAATCGTTGACCACCGGCTACCATGAGACCGCATCTCCTTACGAGGCTCCACTGCCCTGTGGATCAGACCTTCAGGTCGAAGGCTCCGAGTGTGACCCTCCAAGAAAACCACTTGCTTCGGTCTGGGCACCTGGGCAGTATCACAACCCTCACATATATAAGATGAGATCTGTGTGGTGCATATGTATTTGGTGCCTCCTTGTACCAATATGTATGTGTTAAAATAAACAAATAAATAAACTTCTAGAAAGTGAAAGCCACATGTCACGTTTCAGGTTAGATGATTACCTATACTGCTAGAAATTTCTGGAAACCCAAGTTAAATACGATAGAAAACCCTAGATTTTCTGTATATAAGCAGAATCTTTGGAGTAAAACAATTTCCTTTCATATTTCGTGCATTTTCTCTCGTTTTCAAGTCACTATGTACATTTAGCTTGAAGGATTAATAGAGGATCATAGCAACTGAATCTAGCGTTCAATTAGATGAGTATAATATTTTTCAAGGGTTTTTTATTTCCAATAGGTTGATATCATAGATTACCGATAATTAGTCTCTAATTGTATATCTGTCCCCCCCTTCTCCCCTTGAGCATATTATTTATTAAAATCATTCATGTCAATCAGCTTTATGGTTACTTAACATTATGATGTATCTCAACTTTTAAAGGATTTCATTTCTCATAAGGAGTTTGTGGAAATTTTAGAAACTTCACAGATTGAAATCATGAGTCAATCGAAGCTAGATCACTATGGAAAACCTGGAAGCACTGGACGGTCGTTTCGTCCCGGTATTGGACTCCTCAGTAGTGCGCATCCACGATCATGACCCCTGCGAGATTCGAACCCAGGACCTATCAGTCTTGCGACAGGCGCTTAACCAACTAAACCACTGAGCCGGCATCTTGAGGAGTCTCATACTAGGACGAAACGGACGTCCAGTGCTTCCAGGTTTTTCATAGTGATCTAGCTTCAATTGACTCATGATTTCAGTCTGTGAGATTTCATTTCTATTAAAAAGATTAGAACCAACGTCAATTAGTAGTATCATACATAAGATATTACTGATCTATTAGTATTGTAGAGAGGAAGAACATAAGTGGAGGTGATCGAACGTGTTTGAACACAAAATTACATAATATCTCACTAGAATCTGAGAACCATACAGTAAATACACTTGGTATTGTTTGGCTTGTATCTTCCCATTGAGGTTTAAGACTGCAATTGATCAGTCTGTTATCGGCAAATGTGCATATTGTAGATACAAGTCAAACAATATCAAGTGAATTTAAATTCACCCCATTGCACAAGCAAGTGGCTATCAGAACTCAGTAGCTTAGTGGATAACACAATGGCGTTTGAAGCGAATGTTACTGGGTTCGAGTACCAGAGTGGACATCAACAAGTCTGAGATGCAGGTACATCCAGTCGACGAGTTCCAAATAGGACGAAACGCGTGTCAAACTGGATTCCACTATTAGCCACTATCCATCATTGCTTGCATACAGTAAATACTTAGTTTGCAAAATATCAATCCATTGTCTCGAACTTGACTGTGCCTTTTGCAGATATCAGTCCATCATCTCAGATTTCATACTAATTACATTCCGTTTCCGTTCTTTCCTTCTCGATCTTCTATTGAAATATATTCTACTTCTAACTATAGTTATATACTACTTATTTGAATATAAGTATAACTTAAAAAATTTATACTTTAAAGTTTGGCTTGATGCCAATTACACAAGTTTGTAGCTGATAGTAGCCGTATATTGATTGATCACTAAGTATGAAATACTGTTGTATCTATCTAGGCTATTCCTTTGATCCAATTCTATCAATGCAATATAATCCTTGTCATGTTATAAAATGATTTATTACATGTATTTTGTTATGTTTGCATGAAAGGAAATGAGAGAAAAAAAAAAGAAACTCAGTTACAATTTCTTTCTTTTAATAGATTTAAACATGAACTTGTCTTGGGACATACCATATTGAAAAAATTCTATGAAGATAATTTAGCTAGAGAATTGAATCCTTCACAAAAAAGGTAAATATAACATTTCTTTTCTAGTTAAGATTCATTATTATGAATGAATTTTGTATCTTGATGGAGATCATTGAAAACCTGGAAGCATAGAGTGGCCGTTTAGTCCTATTGTGAGACTCATCATTAGTGCTCATCCATGATCCCGCTCAAGGGATTTGAACCTAGGGCCTTCGGTCTCGTGCGGGAATGGGTAACTTCTAGATCACTAACCCGACATCCAACAGTGTTTATGTCCTTATGCTTGTTAGGTATGCTGAGGAATATACCAATAATTATCATGGTAAGTCTAATGATGTCCTTGGACGTTAAATGAACATTCCCTATTGGCCATTACTTATTTCACTCGTTAAATATTGTACAGATGTTGTTTTCTATTTTTATGGTACGATGTGGTCTGTTTGGTTGGTATGTAAACAGAGTATGTTTGAAATATAACGATTCATATCTCCGAGGCTGTGACTTGTGTTCTGGACTCAACTAACTGGGCTAGACAGAGAAGTGGGACCAATCGGGACACTAGGTCGTCCTTACGTGTTTTACGTGTCACCGATTCGATCGATAAAACGCCGCGCATCAAACCTGCAGTCTCACCCGTTACAACAATGCTCAAATAATTATATCACGTGATACGACCTCCAGTCAAAGATATCAACTTATACGACCAAATTATTAATACATAAACCTGTACGAGCAATCAAGTGTTCTTACTGTTAACTTCTTTCCTAACCCAGCCTGTTCAGTCCAGAACGTTAACATCAGCCTACACTGCATGAACCGTATATTTCATACATACTGGGTTTATATACAAACAAAGCAGACCAGACTAGACCATTGAAATGAAAATATGATGGAACTAAAGTGACCTTGAATATGTCCACCTACTTAATAGGTCTAATTGATGATTGTAAGCCAGTGTGATGAATTAGAATGATGATTTAAACTGGATGGTTAGGGTTTAGAAATTAGATTTAGTGTTTTCATCACGAACTAAAATCATTTATAATGCCAAAACTCTATTTAACCAAAATGGTTGGATGAATTTCAAGCCGAAATCCATGACCTGATTGTTTCGTCCATAAATGATAGTTTCGTCAAGAATTACAGTTGTACAAGATCAATTCAAAAAGTGATTGTGATTGTGAGAGACTGTAACTAATAAATTGAGAATAACTCAGCAATAGTCAATTTTATAACAGTAATTAATAATTCAAACGGAAGCTTATAACACAAGAAATATGAATATACATATAATATAATGATGGATAGTGGCTAATAGTGGAATCCAGTTTGACTCACATTTCGTCCTATCTGGGACTCGTCAGCTGGATTTAACTGCATCTCAGAGTTGATGAGACTCGAACTCAGTTCCATTCGCTTCAAACGCCATCGCTTTATCCACTCAGCTAATGGTTATACAGTAAAGATGTACATGTCATATTAGTCCATAAATAGATCCTAGCAGTTACCATTCATTCATTCATTTATTCATTCATTCATTCATTCATTCTTTGTCTGGATATAACAGTATCCATATTGGGATTAATTTGAATATATAGGATATTCTTGATGAACCATGGTATATTTGGTTCCAGTTCAGTTGCCTTCAATAGATCTGTATAGAAACGATCATAAAAGACAAACAAATGAATAAACTTAAAATTTTAAGTCACTTGATTCATCATACCATACATAATGATAGTGTGAGAATTTATTAAAATCTAATCTGAACAAAATTATTTCGTTTGGCAAAATGTATTTCACGTTAAGACTAGTAAAGAAAAGTTTACATTGTGTGTGTGTGTGTGTCGTAGTTGTGGTAGTGGTAGTGGTGGTGGTGGTGATAGTTGGTGGGGGCAGGGGGTTAATTTGAAGTGAAAACTGGAATTCAAAGACAAAGTCTATTGGTAATAAACGATTTGTTAGTTTCTAAGAGAAAAAAAAGACTGAAAATTTATTGTCATGGCTGAATCATTTAAACTACATCATGAGATAACAAATGAGAAAATAAATACTATGAGATAATTTCAACAAATAGTGTCTTCATCTCTACCAATGAATAACACTATAATGAAGTTCAATAGGAATCATCATCATCATCATCATCAAGTTGATATAGAATAGACGGAATATGGCTACAAGTCGAATCTAGTGGACGCGCGTTTCGTCTCACTTGAAGCTCATTAACTGGATGTACCTGTATCTCAGAGTTAATGTTTATCTCTAGACGTAAACCCATTAACATTCATCGACTTTGCTAAATACATTTCATCTATTCCATACAAATATATCTACCCGTATTTAAATTTTGTACACGAAGCTGAAACTCATAATGTCAATCTCTATTAGTTTTTCTGTATAATACAATTTCATTCTGAGATGGTGGAGAAGATTTATAGCTCAGGTGAATGATTTTGATAAAGTTTTGTTCTCTGAGCTAGATAGTTTGGTCTTGCACAACCAAAATCTTTTGATTTCTAACGAGAATTTATGTTCAATAGTGTTCAGTCATGTTGAGTTTCAAATAGGTATGAATAATGACAATGGAATATCGCTTCACAACGGTACATTCACTGTAGTTTGAAACTATTACATGTCAACTTAGTCTTTTGATGACTGATTGCTCGTTATGAGATCTGGAATACTCATATTCAATCTTAAATCACGATAGACAGTTAATCAGTCTCGAACAAATATCATACATAAATATTTAATTTCTACTAGTTTCTATCAGTTTTCTGTCAAAAGTCGTTGTTAGAAATGGGAAATACCATCAAATCATGTAGTAGATTTTTGACTCAGATAAATATTGCCAGATAAAAGAGAAGTTTGTTTGAAGTATTGGCCAATATTATTGTTTAAGATTGTAAGGATGGCCCATGGGTGAACTTGACAAAACTCTAAGAACCTTAGAAAGCGTCGAAAACGTTCTATCCAATCATCTTTCGGAAGAACATTTCAGAGTCCTTACGCGTAGCTTCCCCATTAGACAAATCCTAAAGACTACCGTATACAGATTGGATAATGACTATAATAATGAGTTTACCTTACTAAAAACTATAAATATCTGAGAGTATTGTACCATATTTAATATTGTTTTAGAATAAGATTCTTTCCAGCTGGTCTTCAGTCTTTGAACTTGCGACTTCCAGGGTTCTAGAGTTCGACTCCTCAAGTTGTACGTGGTATATCAAAGATCTAAGCTCTAGATATAACACGAATAACAATAGATCCTTCATAATTAAATTATCTATCTCAAGGAATACAGTATTACGAATTCAGTACTCTTCACTACATTTGATTACTTATAACATACAAGCAACAGTTACTTACTTACTTACTTACGCTTGTTACTCCCCGTAAAGGAGCATAGGCTGCTCACCAGCATTCTCCATCCAGCCCTGTCCTGGGCAATCCTTTCCAGCTACTTCCAGCTGTTATTCATCCTTTTCATATCTGCTTCTATTTCCCCGTGCAATTTGTTCTTTGGCCTTCCTCTTTTCCGCTTCCCTTCAGGATTCCGAGTTACGGCTTGCTTCGTGATGCACTAAAAAATAGATGAATTGTGGTTAGAAACTGAATTCAAGACACATGTTTCATCTTATATGAGACTCGATAGCTAGATACACTTACATCTCAATGTTCACGTTCACATGGAAATTTGAAACTTATCCGATGTACTATCCACTGTGTTGATGAGTCTAAGTATTCACTGATATGTTGAACAAGTATGATATTTGTACCTTGGTATGGGCATCTACACTGGGATTCATGTGTATCTAAATAATGAGTGAGAAATGGGACGTAACGCTTATCGTAGATTCCATTGTGTTATATCCCAGTGAAGAATAAACTAAGGGTAACTTCTATGAACTATTAATCGATAAATATTCTATATATATTCCTATTATATAACTATTCAGTAATTAGATTATGCATATCTATATTCCTCTTATTATAAGCTTCATTATGTCCTATAAACGATTATGATACGATTTACTATTCTTAAGTCATGTTCTGTTCATTGATTATGGTCTCCCACATGCACAGTCACTTTTTGGTTTGATCTTGCACAAATGTTAACTCCAATTTTGTGGTATGATATGGTCTGTTTGGCTTATATATAAACAAAGCATGTTTGGAATAAGTGATTCGTATAGTAGAAACTGATATTGGTGTTCTGAACTTAACTGGTAGGTCTGAGAGAACAAAGTACCGATAAGGACTCAAGGCTGCTTATACAGGTAGAACATCATTGGTTTAACACAGTACCAAGGTGGAATAAGTGGTATTTCGATTGGTGAATAAATCACATGATGATTAACCAGACCTAGAATTACAACGCAATCTTAGTCAGAATCAATCTATTTTATAGTACTTATGAGAAGTACTTACTCATGTTAATGTAATCCTCATAGGATAAACAGCTATTTGACTGGTCTTCCCCGTCTCCCACACTGTCTGGACGTTCCATTCACCTATAAAAATTATTGCTCTGGTTGTTAGAAAGATCATCGGTCTCGTAACTTTCGGAGAAGTTTGACTTTCATCCTGAGGCGTCATAATTCTTCTTTCAATTCCAAGGGCAGAGTTTAAATGGTATAATTTGTTTAGTCTGATTGAGGCTTTTTACCAAGACTTTTTCCACGAGATGGGGTTGCCGACCCCATTCTAAACCCTCCTCATTCACCCGGGCTTATGACAGGCAGTAACTTATTAGTCAACAAAAATTGATTGAAATTCAGTCATAAATATCATCAGTGGAATGATTCAGTTAAATGTAGCTTTTTCTTCATCATTCATGTATGACAACGTAGGTATGCATTGAACTGAAGTGTAACAACATGTTTATTTACTGATGTATGCTACTTTAAAAAAGGAGTTAAGTCTTACCTTATAACATAAGTTAGTTTGAGTTGACGGACAATCTGTCAATCTTCATCAGAGCTATAATATGTTCACATGGTAACGCTTTGGATTCTACAGAAAGAAAACGGGAATACATCTTGCCTTTTAAATGAATCATTTTTTCTTCTTCTTAATTGTTATCAAACTATATCACTCAGAGAAAAACTGATTATCAACAAAGATAATCATACTGCTTTCTTCCTAAAAGTTTATCCAAGAAAAATAAATTCAGTGGTTTAAAGGTTATGCGTTCACGAACGAGACCGAAGGTCCTGGATACGAGTCCTACGCACATAGTGACGCGATTTCTTGGATTGTTTGAAGTTAGGCAATAACACCATTGAGTGTCAACTCAATGGTCTGGAGGTTCTGGGTTCGAATCCAGCGAGCGGGAATGGGGATGCTTAATGCTGAGGAGTCCGATGCTAAGACGAAACGGTCATCCATTGCTTTCAGGTTTTCCATGGTTATCTAACTTTAATGGACTCATACTCTCAACTATAAAAGTAAACTCATTGTCTATGAATTCATTAAACCCATAAATAAATGGTATACTTGAAAATAGATAAAGCAAGCGAAAAAAGTCAGTGTAACTTCATTAGTTAAAAAGAAAAGTTAATTGAATTAGGTTATGTAAATATTTGCGTATAAATGGATAAATATTTACCAATCTAACAATGAAGTTGACATGATCTAACATATTTATGTTACTACTATCATTACTACTATTTAAAACGTTAGTAGTAGTATTAAACATTCAAAATAATTTTAACCGTTGATTGTACATGTATGAAGTTTATTTCTCATTCTTCTTTAGAGGAAGCATATATCTCTTTCAAAAAGAGCATTTTCATTGAATTTAAAGACGAAATTCGAAACATTTTCTACATGTGAAACGAAAGGTTGGAGATGTGGATTACAATTCAATATGAATTTCAGTAAATTCATAAGCCGACCAATGTTTGAGAACCAATGTAAACCTGGAAACACTGGACGGCGATTATGTTTCAATATGGGACTTCTTAGCAATCAGTATTCAAGACTCTGCACCCAGGATTTGGATCCAGGACCTTCATTCTTGCGTACTAGCACCTAACCTCTGGATCACTGACTCAGTATTAATGTCGGTATTAATGTCTAACCTCAATCAATCCACGGTAACGCACAACTGTGTCGGGTGTAAGGCACCAAAGACAACAGGAGATGGCAATGCAACATTATGGATTGAATGAAATTAATCATGTCCACAAATACCTTGATATAGATGAGTATGGGAAGAGTTAGCTCTCCATTTCACATGATCATCCACTCCAAGGGAAGTCCTACTCATTGCTTTCTCGCACCTGGAGTGTTATTTACGAGGTTGAGAGGACAAAAAGCGAATGTTTGGCAGAGGCTTTAGCCCGATTGATAGACACGGAGGGTTTTTCTAGGAGAGTTGAAAAAACCTGCTTCTAAACCAATGATGCACATGGGCTCCAGGATCCTAAAGAAACAAATGAAGTATGAACCAATTATTGATCACCGGCTACCATCGGTCTGCGTCCCCAAAAGTTGCTCCTTTGTCCTGTGGATCAGACGTTTAGGTCAAAGGCTTCAGGTGTAGCCTCCTGAGAAAACCATCTGCTTTGTTCTGAGCATCCAGGCAGTATTACAGCACACACAACTCAAGTGACTTGTGTGGTGAATATGTATCCAGTTCCCCTTTGTACCAATATTTATGTGTTCAAATAAATAAGTAAATAAATAAATAGTAAGCATTAACATCGTTAGATAGCGGCTCGGTGATCTAGAGGTTAAGCGTTCGTGAGTGAAACCGAAGGTCCTGGGTTCGATTCCCACTCACAGTCACCGATGCCCACTGCCGAGGAGTTCCATATGAGGAGAGAATATCTATTCAGAGCTTGTAGGTCCTCAATAATGGTTAAACATTGTCCGGTTCTTAAATTCAATGGAAATGTACAATCTCCATATCTATATACTCACAACGATTATGAAATTTTTAAATTGATAGTTGATAACAATCTTGAATATTATGCAATCATTTATTTTACGATATGATAACCCGAAATTGAAATGACCAGTTAGATATAACAACGAGACTATGATTTATGGACAAGCTAATTAGAAGCGTTTGAGGGATTTCAATGTTACGGCGCTAATTTCAGTACATGATTCTCACGTACGATCGGTTCACAGCGAATTTGAGAGAAAACATGATAATTGAGCGGCTACAACAAATGAGACTATGAAGAAGTTCCTTTATTTGTAATTGTTGTAATCAAATGACTTATGGACCTTGTGCAGATTAACGTGATGATGTAGTCTTTCGATACAATAGATGTTGGAGGGAGAAGTATGCTAGAATAGGAACGTTTTTTCTTTTGATCCAGATTGAGAATAAAGCAAATTTCAATAACATTAGCTGTAACATTTGCAGATTTTACTAAAGCTTCAGCTGTTAAGTGGTATGTGTATTGTAGAGATACATACGTAATAAAAATGACAAACTTTCATAACCATAGTGTACACAAAAAGTAGTGAAGATATGTGGTCGAAGCTGGTAGTTTTTACAACCTTATCATGACTCCAGAGGCCGACTATTCTGCAGCCTTATAGATGATTTCCTCTATCGTATGTATTACAGTTGCAGAATCTCTGAACCTCTTTCTAACTATGATAAGTTTTTGAATCATACATAAATGATCATCAGCGAGACTCTCATCTATGGACGTCCTTTGAACGGATCTCAAGTGACCTTGTGAAATATTAGCCAATCAGCACACAGTCAGTATAGAGTAAAACTATGTTATACAAGACCAAGGAAATAAACTGGATACACTTCTTATACGTGATTCAAAAACTTGTCAAAGTTAGAAAGAGGTTTAGAGGTTCTAAAATCGTAATGCATGCAGTAGAGGAAATCATCTATATGGCTACAGAATAGTCGGCCTCTGGAGTCATGTTAAAGTCTCAAATACTCTTTCAGCCTCGATCACATAGCTTCAATATTGTTTATGTGCACTCCGATTGTTGAGTGCACAAAATGCTACTTGTGGATGCACATAACCAAGCCTACGTACGAGTCTGTACTCTCTCCAAACATCCGTATATATTGTAGTACCTGGATGCAGCCAGTGTTACTGGTGCTTTTATTATCCAGTTCTCAATAATTGTCGTAACGTGCCTTAGTTAGGAATTATATATGGGGTTTTCATCATGAACTGACATCAGCTATAATGCCAGAAATGTAGTTAGTCAAATGGATGAAAGGCTTTCGCGTTAAAATCCAAGATCTATTATTTTGTACCTGATTGATTCGTTCACAAATTATAGTCTCTCCGTTTTATTTGTATTAAATTCCCTGTGAACCGATCGTACATTAGCATAAAGCATTGAAGTTGGCGCCATGACCCTGAAATCTCTCAGACGCTTCTGATTGGCTCGTCTATACATTAGAATCTCGTCATTGATTCAATTCTTTCTGTACTGTTCTATTTTGTTTTATTTTATTCACTTCTAGATATGTTGGCTATTTTTCTGGTTTATTAACTGGTGCATTAATTTTACAAGATCGTTTAGTTTATTTACATACAATTGTATATCGTGATTCATCAAGAGGACGTTATCTTGGACAATCATTAGATGCAATTATAGAAAATAATGAAAATTCATTATATGCAAAACCAGATGAAATTATCACTAATCAAATACAATCGATTAATCAATATAATATTAAACAAACATTATTATCATCATCATCATTCAATCAAAATGATTTATTGATTAATGATCATTTAAATGAAATCGATAATGATCACGAGGATAATGATGATAATGATGATATTGATCATATTAAAAGATGGGATCAAATATTTTCTAGTCCAATTGATTTATTGAAAACAACAATGATTACACAACAACAACAACAACAACAACAACATCACCACCCCCAACAACACCAACCCCAACAACAACAACATCACCATCCCCAACAACAACAACAAGAACAACACCACCACCATCAACAAACTGATCAAACGACCTTTAGTGAATTACCATCATTGAAACAGTTTCAAACATTTGTTGATAAGGAATGTGGTCTTTTTTTAAAAATTTATCAAAATCTAAATTTAATGCATACTACAAGAGTTCTGTAAGTTTTCCTATAACAAAACTCCTTCTGAATATTAATCAGTATATATACTCATTAGTGAATCAGTTTCAAGAGGTATTTTTCTTGGAGTTCTAATGAGAAATAGTGACCATTGGAGTTCAACCAGATCTGTTGTGAGATAGTAACTCACTATTATGTCGTTTGGTCTGTCTACTCACTTTTGGTGCTAAGGATTAATTATCTAATCCAGATTAAGACCTTGGTGCGATAGGCTAACCGGCTTAACTTTGAGGCTGTACGCATGAGTTCGAAGTGGGGTAGAGAGAGAAGAAAACTATTCTATCACCTGATTGGCTGACAAACACGTGAATAAGAGAGAAGATAAGACAACTGGAGCACTACTCGACTTATTCCCGATTTCAGATTGGTGTAAAAGAGTACATGAATAATTAGGTGACTAACCCGCCACAACGTACAATTATGTCCAAAGCTGGGAATTAGAGTAGAAAATAGGGTGCAAAATATTATGTTTAAATTACAACAGCTTTGGAACAAAAATGGGTATGGCAATGAATCATATATCTAATGAAAGCTCATGTTCTGTATAATAGATTAGGGACAAAAATAAATGTTAATGTTTTACAAGATTTGAATTAAAATGGAATAACTTCCCGAAAAATAGCTTTCGTAATTTGTCAGGGCTCCTTGTTTCCCTGTTCACATCACTCACTGAAGACAATGGTTGACGTGTCGGCTCAGTTAGGCAGTGGTTAAGCGTCCGCACGTGAGACTGATAGCTTCTGGGTTAGAATCTCGCTAGGACAGATCATAGATGCCCACTACTGAGGAGTTCTACAATAGGAAGAAACGACCGTCCAGGGCTTCCAGGATTTCTATGGTAGTCTACCTTCAATTGACTCATGATCTCAACTATTAAAATTAATAACTGTGTTTGTTTGTTTATCCATCAGTTTACTATTTAAAAGATTTCATGATCTCAAATATATTTACATTGTATATTTTGAATGCTGATCGGATATTTAGTCGTCAAGGTGATGGCGAAGATTTGTAACTCAAATGGATGATTTTGGTGGAGTTTTGTTTATTGAAATGGATGGCTTGGTCATGGAGCTTTCATTATTATTCTGAACGACATCATCAGCACAAACGTTTACCTGAAGTGTTTGTGCTGATGATATCGTTCAGAATGACAATGAAAGCTCCGCGACCAAGCTATCCAACTCAGAGAGCACTACTTGTTAAGGTATTTACACGACAAAACTAATAAAGTTCAATGAAATGAAATGGTAAAATGACGACTGAAATGTGTGAGAGTTGATATAACGTTTAAAATGGATAAACTATTATTGTAGTGAACGAGAACATACAAGTAGGGACAATCGAATGCATGTGAACACAAAATTACAGAATCTCTTACTGGAATCTGAGAACCATACAGTGAATTCTTCATTTACGAAATGTCAATCATATGCGTCAGACACCAATCATTCACTGTTCTCATTCTCTTTTCTTTGGTCTTCTTAACCTTCCAACACCAGGCATTTCTTTTTCGATTGATAAAACATACTACTTATATCTGGCGACATCAGTAAGACACACCACATTATCACGATAGATTCAAGGTTAAAAGAACCTTAATGACCTAGCCTTTTACGAGCTGAAAATTTCGTGGTTGACACTATTCACAAAGCTTTAAATATTTTTGTATGATCAGTCTTATATCCTTTCTCAATTATATGTTACACTTCCAAGGTGTATGTTTCTCTTGTACATGTGTTTACCACATTGTTCGATGCTGACTGTTCCACAACCGTCAAACTGAATGGTTCGACTACTCCTTCCCTTATATTTATACCATACTGACGTGAATTGATAAAGGGCCTTCATCTGTGTTTATATATAAATGTTTTGACAGCTAGACATGTGACCGAACTATTCGAAATGTATTGCAGAAATACACCACATTGTTGGAATCACCTTCGTAAAAGATACATAGTAATATAAACAATAATGGATAGTGGCTAGCAATGAAATCCAGGACGCGCGTTTCATCCTATTTGGGACTCATCAGCTGGATATACCTGGATCTCAGTCTTGTTGATTTTCACTCTGAGACTCGGACCCGGTACCGTTCGCTTCAAACGCTATCGCGTTATCCACTTAGCTATTGATACCTGGTAGACGATTGCTTGTGTAATAGGGTGAAGCTTAAATTCACTTCGTATTGTTTACTTGAATCTTCCCACTGATGTTTAGAACTGCAGTTGATCAGTCTTTTATTAGAAAATATACATACTGTGCGTATTGCCTCGATACTGCCTTAAGTTACAAGCATTCTAAGCAGAAGGTTGAGAAGGAAAGAACTGAAACCTAAAGCAATTGATATGAAAATGTAGGAACAAACAAGTCTGAGACAATTAACTGACGTCTTGCAAATGAAGTATTTACTGTATGATTCTCAGATACTTACTAAGAGATTCTATAATTTCGTTTTGAAATGCATTCGACTGTCCCCACTTATGTATTCATGTTCACTACATTCCAACTTAATGTGAATGTTCATAGAAAATATATATCGATAAACGAATCTCTCATTTCTCGATCCTCTAGTAGAGCACCATGTAAACATATTGGACTACAAGTATATAGAACAGAATATGAAAGCTCAACTTCAAGTTGCGCTACATCCAACTGACGAGCTTTTTTTCATTGAACAAAAGGAAACATGTGACTGGTTTACTTATAAGGAGTTCTATATCATAGCGAAATAGGTTTCTGTACAATCTCAGTTTTGATAACTGGTTGAATAGTCAGTTAGTGACATGAACAAGAAATTATTGTCAGACGGGGTTTTGTGGAGATTGTAGTAGTTTCAGCAGTTGAGATCATAAATCGATTGAAGCTAGACCACCATGGAAAACTTGGAAGCACTGGACGGCCGTCTCGTCCTTTTGTGGCACTTTTTAGCAATGCGCATCCACCACCCCGCCTCGCAGGATTCCAGCCCAGGGCCTAGTAGCCTCGTGCCAGGCGCCTAACCAATTACACCACTGAGCCGGCATCCAATGGTGTTAATGTCTAACTCGAATGATGCAAGAAATCAAGTGACATATCCACCATTGTCATCAGTGAGTTAATATCTCACAATTGACCCAGTTGAACTCCACTGGTCACAATTTCTCACTAGAACTCCAAGATATACCTCTTGAAGCCAGTCACTAGTGAGTATATTGATTTATTGATTTATTCACTTTTATTTCGATCATGATCTGTAAATTTTCATGAAGTTTTGTAACTTAAGTGATAATCGGGACAACACAACACTAGTTACTACACAGTAATCATTTAGTGCGAAAATACTTGTTTTGCATGAAATCACTGGTGGTCTATATGGCTGATCGGTAACATCTAAGACCGTGATTCTGGATGTCATGGACCTGAATATCATCCTTGATAACAAGTCCCAGCTCGTATGAAATCCAAGTCCATAGTTTTCAACTGGCTACCTCCAATCAACTTACATCCAAAAGATGCTCTAAGTTGTGTAACTGTAGAAGGAAAATGAGACTACTTGTACATGAAATGTTTTGGATCATTTTGCTATATAATTGATTATGTGGGTATCCACAAGTTTATTTTTGCTGTCACACTGTCCCCTATTTCCAAATATTGTTTAGATGCCCAAATGTGAATTTTCGAGTGGAACGATATATTTTTCCAATTGAACCAGTGTTACCATTGCATGGTGATGTTTTAATCGCTTGTTACATACAACCAAACTTTTCAACACAACTTCAAGAATGTTTATTTCGGTGAGTTGATTATATGTTTTCTTTGTTTTTATCCCATTTGTTCAATTAAAGTTTCATCCTTATAAATTCTTTGTTTTTGATTGAAATCATGAGTCAATTGAAGCTAGACCACCATGGAGAACCTGGAAGCACTGGACGGCCGTTTCGTCCTGGTATGGGACTCATCAACAGTGCAGATTCACGATCCCGCACCCCGCGATTTCAATCAAAAACTTAACAATCTCCACAGCACCTAAACTGATAATTATTATGTGCTCACTAGTGACTAGCTTCGTGAGAAAATTCTTGAAGTTCTGGTGAGAAGCCCTGACCAGTGGAGCTAATCCGTGTCGGGTAGAGACAGATGTCTACCTCAGTACAATGGAAAATGGTCGCGCGACTTTGTGGATTGGTTGAGGTTAGGCATTAACAGCACTGGATGCCAGCTCAGTAATCTAGTTGCTTAAGCGCCTGGCGCGGGACTGATGGGTCGTGGGTTCGAATCTCGCGGGGTGCGGGATCGTGGATCTGCACTGTTGAGGAGTCCCACACCCGGACGAAACGGCCGTCCAGTGCTTCCAGGTTTTCCATGGTGGTCTAGCTTCAAATGACTTATGATTTCAATCAAAAAATTAACAATCTCCACAACACTTATGCTGAATTCCTTGTGCTATACGTTTACCATAGAAATCTAGTCTCAGATTACCTAACAATCACATTCAAGATATTCTGCCAGTTGTATAATCATTTAATCATAAATGGTGTATGAAATCAAATAAATTTACACCAGTGCATCTATCTTACTCTCGTATGTGTACGTGTGCTATGTTCTCTGAAGTTCTTCTGAAGTGTTTCATAATTCCCTTGATATTGTTTTACTTGTATCTTCCCATTGTTGTTTAGGACTGCAATTGATCAATCTTCTGTTTTCATCCTGTGCGGATTGCCTCCATATTGCCTTAATTCACAAGCATTATAAGCAAAGATAGATAGTGGCTAACAGTAGAATCCAGAACGCGCGTTTCGTTCTATTTGGTACTCGTCAGCTGGACATACCTGAATCAGAGTTGATGTCCACTCTGGGATGCAGGTACATCCAGGTGATATAGAATAATTCATTTAACGATGATGGAGGAGAAAAAGTAAACGTAAAAAGATTGCAATGAGTCATACTACGGTCATACACAAACCATTGGTTACTTATCTACTTTAAGGTAACAAAATTACAGAAATAAAAACCACTTCAAATCGATTTTTCAGACGTTTAAACTTTTGGTGAAATTCCACACGTAACGCCATAATGTTTTATACTACTATAACTTAATAAAGTAGTAGAAAACAATATTTAAAAAAAGATGCTGTCTAATATCATGGTCTTCGGAGTGTTCAAAACGTATAACACATGATTTCTCTCCGATTCACCTTTACTATTTATCGAATTTCGACTGTGGATTCTCGTATTGTGTTTTATAGCCCGTCATTGATCACGTGATAAGATGGCCATTCAAAACACTGATTTGTACGACTTTGGCACTGTGCCAAACCAATAAATATCTGGACCCAGCACAAGCAGCCAAGAGTCAACTCTAAGTCCTTAATGGTTCTTCTTGCCTTGCCTTACTCATTGATTTCAGAACACAATCTCAGCTTCCACTGTATGAATCTTATATTTCAAACATACGCAGTTTATATACAAGCAAACCAGACCACGTCACACAAACAAATAGAAAACAACAATTATACAAGATCAGGCCAAAAGTGGTTGTGAGTGTAGGAGACTATAACTGATAGCTTGGGAATAACTTAAAAATAGTGTTGTATGATAACAGACAAAAATCAACTTAAAGCTGACAAGAAGAGAAATATAAATATATATAATCTAGTTACTCAAGAGTAATATATGTAGTTACACAATAATTATACAATAAGAATACATATAGTAACAATCCATAAATAACTCCTAGAAGTTACCATTCATTTATTCTTAATTAGGATGTAACAGTACCAACCGCTGGAGATGCCTACTTTCCAATCCCACATAAGTGAGCTAAAAACAGTTGGTTTTTCCATTGCAAATCTGCTATATTCCAAGTTGGCACTTGCCTCGTGATGTAGTTTGATGATTCACTCATTGTGCGTCCTATCCATTCTCCTAGTTTCTTCTCCAGGTGGAAGCTGTTTTTTTGCTAATGGTATTTGGTCAATGGACACTGGGTATCCTTTTTAGACAATTGTTTAGAAATGCTTATACTTCTTTGATGATCGTTGTAGTAGTTCTGAAAGTTTCAGCTCCGTACAGTTGAACGAACTGTCTTGATGTTCATATTGAAGATTCTCATTTTGATAGTGGTTGTCAAACAGTTGTTTTGAGTTCCATATTTTCTTCAATTTTAAGTATTTTATTCTCGCTTTATCAATCTTTACCTTTACATTTGTATACCACCCCTCCATATGCGTAAAACTTTCCACCGCTTTCAAAGCTTCTCTAACAAATGTGATTGATTCAGTGCTCCCTAAGTTCTATTTGACAGTGTTGCTTTTTCCCTTGTGTATGTTGAGACCTGCTGATCCGGAGACTGCTGTTACAGTGACTGCCTCCACCGGCATTTGTTGTTTTGTATGAGATATAAGATCCCGGTCATCTGCGAAGTCAAAATCGTCTAGTTGCATCCAATTGTTCATTGTATTCTGTGCTTCCCATCAGATATCGAGGTCTTCATAACCTAGTCAACCAACAGCACAAAGAGAAAGTGGGAGTTTAGGCAGCTTTGTCTGACTTCGGTCGTCAGATGTAATGCGTCTGACAATTGTCTCCCATACGCGACTTTGTAGTGTAGTCGGTCGTGTGAATCCTGAATGATATTGACGATTTTCTCTGCTAATAAGAGACTGGTCAGTGGCAGTCCTAAACATCAATGGGATGCTTCACGTAAACAGTAGCTACGTGTTGAAGCGAAGTGTTTGTATTGGATTCGAGTCCCGACGTGAACATCAACCCTGGGATTTAGGTACATATAGCTGACAATTCCGTAATGGGATGAAACGCGTATCCTGCACTCGGGTGTTAGTCACCATTCATCTTTGCTTATAATCCTTGGGACTTCAAGCAATATCGAGGCAGTCCTCATTGGATGCACATATACCAACAATAGACTGATCAATTGAAGTCTTAATTAACCATTAAAACAAGACATTGTTCCGTGTCAATCATTAATGTTTGTTTTTCATTTTACAGAGCTCAATTTCATACATGTGCAGTGGATGCTGAAAAACTATCCTTTTTCAAAGTTGATTTAGACGAGGCATGTGAGAGTAAGTTGGAATTTATTTTGCTGCAATTCAATTATTATTTATATCATGATGTAAGTTTGTCATTCCAAACTTTAGCGACTTGTGAATGTCATTGATTATTTGAATCTTTTCATTATTGTTTGGGATGCGATGACGTTTGAAGTGTACAGTACTGGGTTCGAGTTCAGGAGGAAACATTACCACTGGAATACAGATACATCAATAAGCCAATAAGTCCAAAATAGGATGAAATATGCTTCCTGGATTCCAATGCCAACCAACATCTACTTCTGTTAGATACAGTTTAGATGGAAACTTGTAGTGTAATATGGGCAGCATGCTTTTCTGTCTACAGAAAACTCGCTAACTTAGTATCTAACCACTCTTTTTGTGATGTTTTAACAAAGGGTAGAACCCGGCACATTTTGTTTGGGATTTAGAATTTTATCGACTAAGCTGCTGAGCTACATCGGAAGTCAACATGTTAAACGGATAGAATTGTTACTTAGATGAAGTGGATTCGTGGAGATAATTATCATTTGTAGGTATCACACATCATCGATTGACAACATTTACGGTATTAATAAAATCCAAAAAGTACTGAACAAGTGCTTTGAAGTATAGTCCTCCTCATGAGTGACCATCTATCATCCATTTGTAAATTGGAACAAGACCTTCAAGACATTAGTGGACTTCAACTATACCTTGAATGGAATAGTCTTCTCTAATGATATCGAATAATCCTTGTACTTTATCATTAATCGATTAGATTTGAAAATGTACATCACTAGATGTCATCTCAGTATTGTAGTGGTTGAAAAGTGAAGGTCTTTGATGTGTAGTATGGTGAATACTCTAAATATATTCTACTCAAACACAAGCGTCAATAGTTTCAGCTAGTCACATCAATAACACTTGTGTTAAAGCTGAGATACTTTCCAGAGACTTAATTTATTGTAGCTATTTCTCTTATAGAATTATTAACTTTAAACCTAATCCATATGACAGTATAACAATGTCAGGAGACCTAATCCCATAGAACTCATTCATCAAAGTAAATTTGTACATCGTTCATTTATACAGGACCTTAAGGTTCATAAGTCTCATTGGTTATGAATAATAAGCTCTAACATCTACTGTTATATCCTTCACACCGTAAAATCCCACTTATCTTCGGTAGCCCAAAATTTTACTTCCTCAATCAATACGAATTACCAAAAACTAGATTATCTACTACTGTTAGTAGCATAGAAAAATTTATGAAAAAAAAGAAGCGAAAAAATGGACTATTACCAAGTCTCTGTCGTACTAGCGTAGCGCATGAGAACACAATTGGGGGCAATCGATTGTATTTGAAAACACGAAATTACAGAATATCTCACTAAAATCTGTGAACCATAACAGTAAATACTTAGTTTGCAAAATATCAATCCATTGTCTCGAACTTGACTGTTCCTTGAGCAAATATTAGTCCATCATCTCAGATTTCATTGTTCCTTCTTTTTCATACCAATTACTTTCCGTTCTTGTTCTTTCCTTCTTGATCTTCTATTGAAATACGTTCTATTTTTGGTCGTCGTTTTATACTACTTATTTGAATATAAGTAGCTCACACACATACTAGTAGTATATACGTGATGTCTAATAAATTTTAACGAATTTTCTTCTTTTAATGTCTAATTTTGAAAAGAGAGCACATGACTTGAAAGAGAAAAAATGATCGCAGTCAGCCAAAAGAAATTTTTTTAGTTTTTATTACCTTTTTTTCTCTGAAAAAAACACCAAAAAAAACACTCGTCGTTTCATGAAAATTAAACAAACAATAAATTTTTGTTACTATGATGATAAATATGAAGAAACCATATTGAATCACATTACTTCCTGAAAAGGACGAATCAACTATTATTATGAATCTGCCAGTTTGTCCAGTCTTACTTTGTTACTTACTCATACCTGTTACTCCCAATGGAACATAGGCTGCTGACTACCACTCTCCAACCCACTTTGTCCTCAGCTTTCATTTCTAGTTCTATCCAATTGTTGTTTATTCTTCTCATGTCTGTCTCCATTTCTCGGCGTGATATGTTCTTTGATCTTCCTCTTTTCCTTTGAGCTTGAGGATTCTATGTAAGGGCTTGCCTTATGATGCAGTTGAATGCTTTCCTCAATGAATGTCCTATTCACTTACAGCACTTCCTCATTTATTCCTCCACTGAGATCTGGTTTGTTCTCTCCCATAGTAGGTTGTTGTTGATAGTGTTTGGCCAACGGATTTGAAGTATTTTGTGTAGACAGCTGTTAGTAGACCCTTGTATCTTCTGAATGATGCGTTTCGTAGTTCACCAAGTTTCCGCCCCATACAATATCACTGTCTTGATATTTGTATTGGAAATCTCAACTTTGGTGTTGGCTGACATTTGTTTTTAGTTCCAGATGTTCTCCATTTGTAGATGTACTGCTCTTGATTTGCCAATCCGCGCCTTAATATTTTTTTCATATATATATTGTCTGAATAAAAATTATATATGAGTATGGGATTGAAGAGGTTTTTAAGTTTTCTCATTGAGATCATGAATCGGTTGATGTTAGAAGCACTGGATGGCCGTTTCGTCCTAGTAGGGTACTTCTCAGTAAACCGTACTCACTCATGTTTCTACAGTTGAGATTTAAACCCATAACCATCGGTCTCGTGCACGAACTCTTAACCTTAGTGTTTAACTTCCATCGATTCATGAATGGTTGAGCAACCATTTATTCATTGTCTGAGGTAGATGCTTGTCTCTACCTGATATGGATTAAACTCCACCGATCACGGTTTCTCACTAGAACTACAGGAAATCACCTTGAGGGAAGTTATTAGTGACTTTCCAGCATTTCAGTGGTGGTCTAGTATCAATCGATTCATGAATAAAAATACACATTATTTCAGATTGAATGCGATAGGGAAAATGTTCTGATGTTTTTGTGTACATGTTTGCTGTGTGTGATTATAAATTCACCAACAAATAATCGACGCTTATTATAGACAAATTAAGATCGAATGACCCATTCAATATATCTAATGAAGCATTAATTACGAGTAGAGATGGATGGTGGCTAGCTGTGGAATCTAGTTCGCGCGTTCCACCCTATCAAAGACTCGTCATCTAAATGTATCTACATTCCAGAGGTGATGTTCACTCCGTGATAAGAACTCTCTATTGATCGCTGTGAATACCATCGTGTTATCTTGTTAGCTACCGAGTTAAGATAATCACTAGCTTGTGAAATGGATTGAAGTTTAATTATATTTTGTATTGGCTGTTTGAATCTATCTATTGACGTTTAGAATGGTAATTGATCAGTCGCTTATGTATATACATCCTGTGTGGATTGCTTTCATATCGCTCTAAGTCACTAGCATTTTCAGCGATTGAAGCTAAAGGTACTGGGTTCGAGTCCTGGAGTGTATATCAACCCGGAGATTCAGGTTCATACACCTGATTTATCCCAAGTGGGACAAAGCTCACGTTCTAGATTCCACTGCTAGTCACCATTCACTTCTGCTTATAATGCTTATGACTTAAAGCCACATCGAGGTAATCCGCACAGGATACTCATATGCCAAGAAAGAGAATGGTCAATTGCAGTCGTAAATGTGAAGTTTCAAACAACCAATACAAAAATGAATAAAATATTAGTCGCGTTAATAAATGGAGACGGATTTAGCTTGCACTTCACCAATTAAGAATGAAGAGTAAACATGTAGCAATAAAATATTGAGTAAAGTTTGATATTGGTGAACAATTAAGTCCAAGACTCACATTTTGACCCATTTGGGACTCGTCACTTGGATGTGCCTGTCTCATAGGGTCAGGATTAACTCCGGGATTAGAACCAAATCACTTTCGCTTAAACTGCGAACGCACTATTCACGTACCTATTGAGTTCAGATGGCTACTGTGTTTTATAACGGGGGTGAATAATAATTTATTTGTACATGTTTAAGTCTTCCCAATGTCAGTGTTTAGGATCGCGACTGATCAGTCTCTTTTTGGTATACGTAAATTCTGAGCAGATCGGCTTGACATTCCCATTAGGTCGCAAATATTTGAACATAAATGTACCTGGTTCAAGTTCATGCTGATAATTTTCAAGAAGGAAAAATCCTGAGTCTTGCGTTACACTGCTAGCCACTATCAAACTCTGTTTAAAAGTGCTTGTTACTGATAACAGTGCGGAAGCAATCTTCTCAGGATTCCAATAAGTACACTGAACTTCATTCATTGATTATAAGTTACCATACTAAAAAGAATTTAACAAGCTTATGCATATCGAAACAACATGACAAAATAGAGTCCCTCATGATGACTATCAGAGTTACTTAAAAAGGTTCTGTTCACCAGTCATTAACTTTGTAAAGAGATCCCTATTTTTAATTTGCAGACCCTTAGTCCTTATCAAATCTATATCTATACTAGTGTCAATAAAGTTTGGCAATGATAGGACCTGCATAATGTCTATCCCATCCACTATAGTCTTATCAAATATAACCTCTGTCTAAACGTAGATTTACGAACACTGATTTGGAGACATTGATTCGACGAAATCTTTGAGTAGATACACCAAACTTACCCAAATCTTCAGTCATCAAAAGGCATGATTTACATCTGTACAGAACTGTTTAGTTGCATATCCATCGTTTGAGATGTAAAAGGACATTTTTTTCATGTATCATTTGTGGTACATACTAACGAATGTTAAAACAAATTTGTAATAACAATGAACTGAATTAATTAGTCAGTTGAAAAAATCTTTTGGCAAACAATCAAATGCTAATGAGACATTTGAAATATACAAAGTTTATACTTTGTAAAGTTTCAAGTTTGTAGCCTACTAATCATGTTAGCATTCAACTTATCATAACCACTTTGAGTTATTGAAATGCGTTCTCTTATCATGCCTCTTCCCTGTGATGAATACGTTTGATAAGGCATTGAGAATCAGTTCTAAGTTGATCATTTTTGACGCAGACAGAGATTATGTGGGTAGGAAACCAAAGTATTATAAAGGATAATCCATTCTGTTCAACAGTTCAATTGCTACTTGGACTCAGTAGTTTAATGGACATTTGATTCAAGTCTCAATGTGAACATAAACACTGAGATTTAGGTACATCCAGGTAATAAGTGGGGGAAAGGATGAAACAAACTTTTAGTATTCAACTTTCACCTCCAATTCAAATATCATTGAGCACAGGTAAAATGGTGATTGGCGACAGACAACAGGAAACCCTGGATCCAAGTTTCGTGCTACTTGGCACTCGTCAGCGACCAATCATCATCTTATCTCAACATAATGCATGAAATGTCGAATCACTTAGACTAGTGACCACATTGCAACTTGGTCTATAGGATTCGATTTGAACTAAGAAGGACCTAACACACATGGCCATTTCTAATTATATTCAACCATCTGACATATCGTAGTGCTGCACACAAAGTCCAGCTACTTAGACTTCCATCTATACCTTAAAAATCTAAACAAACATGACACTGATCACAGTTCAGTGATCAATCAATTGTAATACATTCGAAAAAGACCTGCAGAATTCTACTTGTCCAATCATCTATTATGTAATGAATCAGTACGAACAATCACTTCTCCGCTCACTTGATCAATCGTAAAGACTACACATAGTCATATAGCGTATCATCATCATAGCACTTGTGGAACAATCAAGTATTACACATCGTGTAAGATACAATATCTTATGGAAGAACTTTGAAAGGCACTAAAGTGACCTCGTGAAACTTAAACTACTTACTAGTTCAAGGTTATAAATTAATGTAAGGAATCAGGATAAGGAGTTAGAGTGAGACTATAATTTATGGACGGCCTTTAAGCAACGCTAAAATGACCTTAGGATGTTCATCTATTTACTAGAGCTATATGAAGAATAAAGATGATGATTTACAGTTGATGGTTAAGGTTAGGAAATAGATTTAGAGTTTTCATCACAAACTGATGTCAAGACGCTATTCAAACAAATGGATCAATAAATTCCATGCCAAAATCCATGACCTGTTATCCCAAATCTGATTAGTTCATTCATAAATTATAGTCTCACTGGAGTTAGGGTCAGGCATTAGATTTACAATTTTTACCACGAATTGACATAATCTATAGTGTTAAATGGACAGTTGAATTTCACATCAGAATCTTAGTGTTGGATCATCGTTGAATTAGAGTCCTGCCAAAATATCCAGCTTCATATTTCCATCAAATTTGTAGGTCGTCAATTAAATCTCATTCTTTTCAACATACTACTTATATCATTATCAGTAGATTACCATGTAAATATGTTGTCATTTATATTGTAGAGACAATTTTTCCATCAACTGGTTGTGTTGAATTATATTTCACATCACATCGTGAACTTATTACAGGTAAGATTTTTATATTATGTTCTATGATCTACTCATATTTAATCCTAATATATGAGGTTTGTGGGAATTGTTGAATGTCATCGTTTACAGCATAGATTTCATTCAGTTTGACTATCATTGAAAACTTGAATGCACTGGATGATCTTTTCAGTCTACTATGGGACTATTCTGTAGTGTGTAAGTATAACTATTCATGGAAGAGAAATTAGGATCATCAAGTCGCACCATAAGCTTTCTGAATTAAGACAATTGAGTTAGTATTCAAAGGTTAACATATCGAAATCCAATCAGTTCATCACATGACAAGACACTATTTCAGTATCAACAGATGAGTAACTGCTTCCTACTCAATAAACTAACTATATAAGTTTGAAGGTGTCAATTATTCACAAGTATCAAATTCACTTAGTAACAGAAGAACAGTAGGAGTAATTGGTATGTAGTTAGCATAATGGCTGAAATAGTCGAATTAATCATCTAATCACATATAAACTTTTCAAATTCTAATTGCGTAATAACAGTTAGCAGAACCACTTGTAGTGATTGAACACATTAGTAATGATACAAAGGGGAACCGAATACAAATGCCTCACACAAGTCACTTGACTGTGTTTGAGCTGTAATACCACCCGAGTGCTCAGATCAAAGTACGCTGCTTTCTGAGGGGCCACACTCGGTGCCTAAGACATGAAGGTCTTATTCAAAAGATAGTGGAGCAACATAAAAAGATGCAGTCTCATGGTAACCAGTGATCAACAATTGGTTCATATGTCATTTGTTCCTTCAGGATCCTGGAGCTCATGTGCATCAATAATTTGGAATGAGGGTTTTCCAACTCCCCTAGGTAGAATCTCCGTGTCCACCAACCCGGTTAAAGCAGCTGCCGAGCATTCGCTTTTCGTCCTCTCAATTTCGTAAACAATAATAATGGCACGAGAAGGCAGTGAGTAAGACTTCTCTGGTACTGACTGTATACACGCCGCCATGTGAGAGCATTTGCAGAGGGGTAGCTGACTCTCCCTACTCTCAGCCGTATCAGGAGATTTGGGCATTTGTAGTGAACGAAAACTCGAGTAAGGGAAATCAATTTACCCTTTAATATAAAAATTACAGAATGTCTTGATAGAATATAAAAACCTTACATTAAATACTTCGTATGCACACCTTTCATCAGTTGTCTCTTGCAAACTTCATTGTGCCTTCATTCTTGTTCTCTACAATTTCGATTTTTTCATTCTTTTACCTCCAGGTATTCTACTTTAAATAAGTCTAACATACTACTTATATCTGTCGATACAAGTAGTATATGCATTATTGAGTAAAGAAAAATTGTCATTTTTATTAGGGTATAGAATTTACCCATAATCATTATGGATTAATCTTGATTAGAGAGAGAGATAGATAGAAAGAAGAATTGAAAACTAAAGAGAAAGTAATAACTATTTTATGTTAATATGATACTATCTAATAGTTGACATTAACATTATGGAAACCTCAATAGGAAGATACAAGCCAAACAATACCAAGTGAATTGAAATTCACCCCATTGCACAAGCAAGTGGCTATCAGGACTGAGTAGTTCAGTAGATAACGCAATCGCGTTTGAAGCGAATGGTACTGGGTTCGAGTCCAGGGTGTACAGCAACTCTGAGATGCAGGTACATCCAGCTGACGCATCCCAAGTAGGACGAAACGCGCGTCCTGGATTCCACTGCTAGCCACTATCCATCGTTGCTTACAAAAAGATTATGGAAAGTTGTTTATCTCTATGAGTAGAATGAATGGAACATTCCTCAGTAAGTCACAGATATGTAAATAGGTGTATTTAAAAGGAAAGCAATAACTGTCTAAATACTCATTAATATTACTACAATATTATTCACTCAGTTTATTCCTTCCTAATATCATTATTGTTTGTCTTTAACGCATCCTTCCAAACTTTCCCTTAACTTCTGATATCAATTCATAATCTTAATCCAAACGAACAATGTTAACATCAAATTATAACCTTAGTTGTCAGTCGTACTTCTAACTGTAAATCAGAAGAGAGATTTTCAATCCTGATGTAACTTGCCATTGGACACTAGTGTAATAAGTGATTGAAGACCTCGACATTTGAGTGGGAGCATGGAATACTATGAACAGCTCAGAATCAATTTTTAAGATGTGGACTTTTCAGATGTCCTGACCCTCCAATCCCATACATACGAACAAATGCAGATGAAGACAACTAGCGTAGTAGCAGCCTCTCAATGAGTAGGCTTCAGTATAAACTAAGAAAGAAGTAAAATCCTCAAGTACGACACGATCAACAAACTGATCACACATGATGGAGAAACTCTGGAACATGTGGAATCTTTCACGTACTTGGGAAGTATCATCGATGAACAAGGAGGATCAGATGCAGATGTAACGACGAGGGTCGGCAATGCAGCTGCCGCATTCCTGCAGTTGAAGAACATATGAAACTCAAAACAACTGTCAGCAAAACATCAAAGTCACAATTTTGAGTTCAAAGGTCAAGACACTTCTACTGTACGGAGCTGAAATTTTGAGAACTACTACAGTCATCATCAAAAGGGTACGATTATTTATAAATAGTTGTCTACGCAAGGTGCTCAACATCCGTTGGACGGATAACATTAACAACAGCGCTCTGTGAGAGAGAACAAACCAGCTTCAAGTTCAATAGGAAATCGGAAAAAGACGTCGGAAGTGGATAGGACATACATTTAAAAAATCACCGAACTCCATCACGAGGCAAGCCCTGAAGAGAAACGGAAAAGAGGAACGCCGAAGAAAACTATGTCGAGAATTGGAAGCAGACGTGAAAAAGATGAATAGCAATTGGGAAAATTGGAAAGGATTACTTAGGACAGGGTTAGATGTAGAGTGATGGTGAGCGGCCTTTGGTCCTCCACGAGGAGTAGCGGGCGTAAGTGAGTAAGTAATAAGTGGTTATAAGTATAGAGAGATTGTCGTTAATGTAGAACTTGTATAGTTGAAATAACCAACGGATCAAAACTGGAGCACCATCGAAAACCGTGAAGCACTGGACGGCCGTTTCATCCTAGCATAGTATTCCTCAGCGGTTGGCACCCATGACCATAGACTCCGGAATCGGACCAAGGGCCTTTAGTCTCACCCGTTGACACTTAACCATTGGATCTCTAAGCTGGGTGTCGGCGGTGTTAATGTCTAACTCCAATCAGCTCATAATATTGTGTGACCCTCAATATCTTGAACTGATTGAAGTCAAACATTAACATCAATGGATGCCAACTCACTGGCCTAAAGAATAAAACTTCTCATTCGGCCCCCGGTGTTGAGGTCATAGATGCTCACTGCCTAAGAGTTTCATACAAGAACAAAATGGCCGTCCAGTGCCTACTAGTCTTCAGGGGTGATCTAGTAAGGATCAGTTCATGATCTCAACCATAATGATAAATTACTTATTTATATCACCTGTGTCCCGGTTGATTAATGACTGGCTTCGCCTTCACAATGTCGTTTTAACATCCTTAAAACTTGTCAGTAAAGCATATTTTTCCTGAAAGTACACTAAAGTGATTCCTCCCCCACCACCAAACACACGCACATACACATACACACAAGGGATATGGTAGTAGATAGTAATTGTTAATGTTCTAAAAATACTTTGAGCTGATTGTAAAATTATGCATACTTACTTACTTACGCCTGTTACTCCTAATGGAGTATAGGCCGTCGACCAACATACATAGAATCTATTTTGTTCAAGATCAAATTACTCAGATCTAATTTAATGATCATTATTGAATCACGTTAATGTTCCTTAATTTGTCCTAATTCTCTATTACACATCTCACTTTTTTTTTTAAATCTTTACCTAAAGTTGATAAGACAGATCTAAATCAGACCGATTAACTTTTCTGGCATAAGTTCTCTATTACAAATCTATATATATGGACATTCCCCTTTTATTCATCAAAGAACTAATCATATTTCCATGTTATCTACATATGTATATACACAATTAGAAACAATATTTTCAACCAATCATAAGTTGCTAATCTCAATTCTAATTCACTTCTCAAATTTCCATCCGACCTAGTTACTACTACTACTATTCTTTCTAACCATTAATGACTGGCAGTTCAACATTGTATGTATAAATGTATATATCCTTTAGTTAGAATGTCTGTTCAACTATTAAGTAGAATGAATTTAATGATTGAAATAGGAAGGTGATGATAGGGGTTGTTAAATAACGAATATTAAACTTAGTTACTTATTTAGAAATCATTTACTTACTTATTTACTTACTTACTTAGTTACTTACTTACTTACGTACCCATTGATCGATGAAATCATTTACAGAAACTAATCGATTAAAACATTTCAGTTTTCTTTCTTTCCTTACTACTTAAATATCTATCTATATATTATTATTACAAAATTTGGCATTCATTCATTCATTCATATTCTCAATTGTTCATTCCCTAGTCTATGGATGGATATATTATTCTAAAATATACATATATATGGTGGATTAAATCTCTATATAAGTAGTATTTAATTGCCATGGTAATATAAAGGATTTAGTATCTATGTGAAGTTAACCAGCTTGGTGATATAATTCTTCAACTGAATTATTCTTTCTATTCATTTGGACAAAAAAAAATAGAAAAATAATAATAATAAAGAAGGGGGGTGGAATGGTTTACATTTTGATGTTTATTAAAAAAAATTATTATTGATTATTATTATTATGTTGAATGTTTATTTAATTTTTGTTACTAAGAGCATACGGATAATATAGAACGTGGTTGTTATATATGGACAACAGCTGAACGTGAATCGAATATCTTAACAACAAGAAAACAATTATATGGATTAAATTGTGATCCATTTCAACATCGTGTTCATAATAATGATGACGATGATGATCACGATGATCATGATGATGAATTCGTTACTACTATTCATGATAGACAAACAAATAAATTTTTTCCTAAATTACATAATTCATCTAGACAAGCATTACGTATATTGATTACAACACAAGAACAATTGATTAGTGTTGCTGGTGGATTATTTACACAAAGTATTAGTGATTCAAAAGCTCCAATGTGGTCTGTTAATCATAATCAAGAACTAACTGGTAAGTAGGATCATTTTAATAATTTCTATATGGGATAATGAAACAGAATTACTAGTACAACGTGTCTAACTCCTCATCTTATTTTTTGGTACCAGTTTAGGAAGACGTTGACAAATGGACTAAACTATGTTAATGTCTGTAATTCATCTGGTTGAAGTCTACCGAATTATTGAAACTATTGATTAGAGACTTCCTGTGATAGAATAAAACCATTTCATGTAGTCTAAAACTTGAATACGGGGAATCCCCCTGTAGTGAACAGAACACACAGGGTAACCTAATGCATTACAGAGTTACTTGGTAAAATAGAAAAACCATATAGTAAATCGTTAGTTTGCAAAATATCAATCCATCATATAAAACCCGACTGTTCCTGTTGCAAACATCAATCCATTGTCTCACATTTCATTGTTTATGCATTTTCTTACAAATTGCATTGTGTTCCCGCTCTTCCTTTCTTGATCTTCTCCCATCTTCTGCTGCCAGACATTATGCTGTTTAACTGGCGTTATATACTACTTACATCAATATAAGTAGCACGCACCACAATACTATTCTGGTATTTGTTTTGAAAACATTTGATATTACTGTGCTAATATAAGATTGTAATTTGAACCAATTCATGTGTGTCAGATTCTATGGTGTATATAACTGTCTGATTTATTTACTGTATATGAAAGGAAAACGTTCCGAATTTGTCTACATTTATATTTAAAGAAATGAAATTTGAGAGAACCTGAAATAATAATCAAGCAGATTTTGTATTGCAGCAATTTGGAAGACTCATCCGGTCTCCCACATTGTACCTAAATAAATGGTTTCTCTGGTTGTCAGAAAAGGCATCGGCCTGGAGACTTCCGAAGAATTTCTTACTCCCAGGGCAGAGTTTAAAAGGTTCGAATAATATTTTTCTGGTTAGCGTTTTTTTAGCGAGTTAGTTTTCTACGGGACGGGGTCGCTAACACCATGCTCAACCCCCTCCTATGTCCGGGCTTGGGACCTGCAGAAGCCCTCGGGGGGGAGGCTCCAGGTGGAGTTGTATTATACTCTACTAAGTCGAATTTAGATTGATAATACATGAATCAATAACAAATATGATAGTTACCACCACATTATATCCCACTAAATTATACAATGTCAAAAACGTCTGACATGTTTATCTGCGTAAAAATTACATCATGAAAAAGTTCCACTCTTGGACATGAATTTTCTCCTCAGAGATTATTAATTAACTAATGTCATGTTGAATGGATAGATATGACTGAAATTACTTATTCCTGTTAGCGTTTGTTTTGGCAAGGTTGTTTTTTTTAAGGATGGGATTGCCGACCTCACGTTTAACCCTTCGCCTTTACTCATGCTTGGAACCCGTAGCAGCTAAAGGCGGAGTTATGACTGAAATTCCCAGAATGTAAATAAGTATTGCGCTGAACCTCTATTACTTAGAATTAATTCAGAATTTTACTCTGCATTGATTCCTATTGATGAACAAACAATATTATTGTAGAAATCTGTTTTATTCTGGTAAATTACATTTCATCATTGTAAATTCCAAACAGTACCAGTGTTCGTCCGGTCTCATGTTGAATATTTTACCACTGAACCATTGTGTTCTTGATTTTAACTTCATTCAGTGTAAAATTAACTTACACCTATCATCCCTGGTAAAGCATAGACCTCCGACTAAGATTCTTCGACCAACTCCGTTTTGGGCTCTCATTCCCAGTTTTTGCCCAGTACGATTGATTCTTTTAATGTCTGTCCCTAATTGTCGGCAAAATGTGTTCTTTGGTCTATTCTATTTATTTCACCCTTAAATATTCAAAATCAGGGCTTGCTTCGTAATATCTTGTATAATAAACTAAAAAACGCCGTGACTTCTGCTAATTGGATAACTAGTAACATCATTACTTTCCATCATCCAGTTGAAGACTTGAATGATACTTGAAATAATAAAGTATTTATGCAATATGTACACCTAGTCTTTAGCCATTCACTTACATCTTGTGCGTTTTGAAATACAAGTTGGTTGTAGACTGACTTCTCTCGCTTTTCTTCTGATTTCCAAATTATTCTGCACATCATGCTCAATAACTTCCTATAACTCTTCTCTTTTAGACTGACAACTGTAGTAACTTCCACACGATGTTCAGCCACAGACAACTTATAATCATTCATCACATTAGTTGTATTAATACGTCAGCATGAAACAATAACATCACTATCCATGAAAAACAATGACTACAGATCTGTAATAGTTCTTGCTCACTCTCCATATAAGATAATATCATGAATAATACGTTGAACAATTTATTTATATCATGGTTTAGATCAGGGACTGACTTTAGTGAGATAGCCACTGAAAACTAGAAAGCAATATACATCTGCCTCGTTCTAATGTTGGGCTTTTTAACAGGGAAAATCTACAACTTCTCCAGAATTTGTACACACTAGACCTTCAGGTTCTGTAGCGATCACTTGATCTTTATACCAATGATTCGCCAATGAATGGTTTGGACGTATAGCTTCAAACATTCGTGTTATTGATCAGTAATCTTCCTCAGGCCGTTGGTGAGTTATTGCGTTAAATCTAAAAAGATTGAACTCAACCAATTACTGCTTCTCACTATGACTCCTGAAATTATCATTCGAAATTAGTGATTATTAAGCAAATGATTGTTATTACTATGGGGATTTGTAGAGATTGTTGAATTTCGTAGTTTATATTATGGACTAATCTCAGTTATCCAACCGTAGACATGTAAACTGTTGGCTTCCGGCTCAATGATCTAAAAAGGTAATCAGATTGAGTAATAAACATAGAAAATGAAACAGTACAAGGAATATAATCATATTACTACGTTTCTGGATTTCTAATGAAGTAAAACATGAACACATTTAAGTCATTTCAACCTCATTTAAGCCACGATTCCAAAAGCGCTAAAAGTAGATTGCAATCATTCTATGAATCCTAGCGATAAATTTGATTAGTTCAACAAAGATTGATGATGAGGAAGATGTGACGAATGTTTCGACCAGCTCAGTTGGCGGTCGGTATAATCTTTTACTCTTTTGACAGTGATAAATTAGTCTAAGATCACTATCAAACAACTCATCTAATCATGCTTAACAGGTTACATTATATTTAAAGTTGATTGTGCGAAATAGTTACTTTCCATCAAATTCGAAGGTCTACAATTAAATCTTGGTTTCTTAGTGCTTTAGGGTCAAATTTTAGTGAATAGTGTCAATTCATGATTGAACAACATCTTGAACCTGAAGGTGAATTACTTTTCATTCAAATATAAAACTCGGTGAAGAATACTTTGGAAAAAACAGATGATCAGACACTTGTAACTCATAATTCATATTTCTTAGTCTTAGATTAATACAGAATGGACGCATGTTGAATAATACAACCAACTTTCTACAGACGTCAGTGTAGGATAGTAGAGATTGTTGAGCTTTTATAGAGATCATGGTCCGATCAATGTTACATCACTACTGAAGACTTAGAAGAAGCACTGAACGGCCGGTTCTTTTTAGTATGGGACTCTTCAACAGTGTACAATCAAGATCCTGCATGCGGTACCCGAACCCAGGTCTTTCTGTCTTGCGAGCGAACACTTAAACTCTAGACCACTGAGCCGGCATCTAACGGTGTTAATGTCTATTTTCAACAAATCCACAATATTGCCTTACCATCTTCCTTTCTACAAATCTACTTTGACCAACAATGATGGTGCGATAATGTGATTCATGAAATTGATAAAGTCACAACTGACTCAGTAGCCCATAGATCTCATTTGTAGAAGATTTTTTTAGCATGGTAGAATGAATAAGGTTGAGAATTTCAGATTTTTTTCAACAGTCAAAGTCAGTGTGATTATGTCTAGACCATAAGGTCTTTGTTTTGATCTTGAGTGGGATCGTGTGTTTGAATCACTGTAGACTCCTTGACACTAGTGAAATACTAGTCTACTTCACTCTCGTTGGACAATTTTCCTCTGGATGATGTCAGTCTGTAATAAAAATCACCTTTAAATAAATCTACTGTTTACTGATCTCTTTTAAACGACTGATCAATTAACATCTACTTGTACCCGACCGCTGCTGCTACCTTGACATGGTGGTCGGGTTTGTCTATTTTGATGAACTAGTCCGGCTATATTGGCTAGAAAAATCGTTCTTCAAGGTCATACTATGAGAGATTGGTCAGTTGAAGAACGGTAAGACTAAAAGCAACAAACGCAAGGCTCGAGGACGAAGTCGTATTACTGACTGTACAAAAATGTATCGAATGTGAAACAGTTGCCACTAAAAGTGTTGGAAGATTATGGAATTATATTGCTAATTGATTGAAGTTGTGGCTATTCCATTAGATGCTAACAAAGTGCTTCTATTGGATATTAGTTCTCCGATACCTGACAGTGTCGTAGATATTCATTCCTAATCTCTTTTCTCAAAAGTATCTTAACTGAGATCAGCCCATGATGAATACAGCCTCCAGATATGAGTTGTTTACAACAATACCCATATATTGACAGTGTTGCAGTGGTTTGGTAAAATATGAAAGTTCTACAATTCATATATCCAAAATTAATAATCCGAAAAATGGCCAGGTGCATCATTTAAAGTTAATGCATGTGAATTTAGGTTTGTCAAATAAGATACAATAATCAGTATAGAGTTGTGGAGATTATTGAGTTTAAATTACTATCATGAATGAACCAATGTTAGACCGCTATCGAAAACCTGGAATCACTGAACAGCCATTTCATCCCAGTATGGGACTCCCCAAAAGTAAACACCCACGACCCTGCACGCAGAATTCGAGCATTAGAACCTTCGTTCTCCCACTTGAACGCTTAATTTGTAGACCAGTGAACCAGCATCCAACGATGTTAATGTCTAACTTCAATCAATCCACGATATTTTATGCGACCGTCCACCCATATCTTCACTGAGTAACTGCTACACAATAGACATGTTGATATGAC